TCCGTCAGTCCCCCAGTCCCTCAGTCCGTCAGTCCCCCAGTCCCTCAGTCCGTCAGTCCCCCAGTCCCTCAGTCCGTCAGTCCCCCAGTCCCTCAGTCCGTCAGTCCCCCAGTCCCTCAGTCCGTCAGTCCCTCAGTCCCTCAGTCCGTCAGTCCCCCAGTCCCTCAGTCCCTCAGTCCGTCAGTCCCCCAGTCCCCCAGTCCCTCGTACTGCCGCCCACCTCACCTTTCCGCCCCTCACCTGTTCTTTAGGCGGGAGCAACTCAGGCGGGAACAGGTCACTCGCAACACTTCTGCCTTCAAGGCGCCTGTCAAACACATTCCTCACTCCCCTCCCACCCACCACAGGAGAGTGAGTTTAGCAGCCCCCCATCAGCCTGCCTGGCTGATCTGCGCCTCTTTGTGGAGCAACTCAGGCGGGGGCAGTCTGCTCGCAGCACTGCACTAAAGCACGCTTCTCTCAATCCTCTCAACTCCCCCCACCCTCTAACCCCGCACAGGAGAGTGAGTTCAGCAGCCCTCCCTCAGCCTGCCTGGCTGATCTGCGCCTCTTTGTGGATCAGCTCCGGCATGAGCAGGCTGCTCGCAAGGCTGCTGCGGCTGCTGCTGCTGCCGCCGCTTCAGGTGAGCATGCACGCACTTACACTGGAGGGTGGCAGCATGAGAATAGGCAGCATGCGATTTGCCACAACCCCCTCTCTCTGTCTCCTTGCCAGCTTGCCCATCCCTGCCCCCATCCCCCTCGTCTTGCATCCAACTCACCCTTCTTCCTCCCTCTCCTGCTCCTCCCAGGTCGCAGCAAGAAGGGCAAAGATCACATGCAAGAGCAAGGACCCACCACAGAGGGGATGGCTGGGGTTGGTGCTGCTGCTGCTGGTGCTGGTGCAGGTATGGAGGAAGGCGAGGAGGAGGAGGAGGAAGGGGAGATGTGCAGCATCTGCTACGCTGCTCCCAGTGACACTCAGTTCATCCCCTGTGGCCACTCCTCCTGTGAGCGCTGTGTGGCACGGCACCGACTTAACAGCCCCCGCTGCTTCTTCTGCAACGCTGTCATCGAACGACTGGCGGCGAGGAGTTGAGAAAGCTGGAGGAGGCTGAGCTGGAGATGTTTTACAAGTTGAAATGGAATGGACGGTGCTGCTGCTTCTGCTTCACCTAACATGCTGCCGCGAGCAGCATTTTACTTTGTTACCAGTGCTCACTCTTTTTCTTTTTGCATGTTCTGCATTAGGCAGACCTGCACTGTCCGCGTCAGTACGGCTACAGCAAACCTGGTTCTTAGACTGAATGTCTTGCTTGTGTCATCTCTGCTGTTGCCCTGCTGGTGCTATCTGGTTTGTTGGTTGCCATTTATCAGCTGAAAGTGGGCTGTAATATGGACAGTAAAAAACGGCTTTGCAATGATGCAGCCGCCAGGCCCAGTGCTGGTGCCATGTATAGTACTGGTATATTCCTGGTGCTATTTCTTGGTCCAGGCAAGAGGAGTCCAACCAACCAGACCGGTAGCATGCAGAACATAGTTAGGGTGGCTGCAATGCTGAATGCGGAACTAGTGAAACGCATGCTTTGCCAGCAGATAGCAGCACAGCCATGCGGGACCCAAAGCGGGTTATCGTCCTCACATGATCACATCACATGTTACTGCATGGTGGTTACTAGTGCGAAGCAGGTGGATGGGTGTTATTGTGCAGAGTAGGGGGAGAATGCATGGGAGAAGGTGTGAAAGGCGAGGCATGGGAATGATGAGGATGATGGTGGTGGCGATGGTGCAGTTGCCTCTGGTGCAGGTGGTGAGTCGATGCTTCCTCAATCTGCATGACGCAAGAGAGAATGCACCGGCATAGGAGAGAGAGAAGAAAATGCAGAGGTTGGGGAGAGAAGGGAATATGCACAGGCACAGGAAGAAAGGCAATGCGCGAGAGCAGGGAAGCGGGAAGCAGTCATATAGTGAAGCGTGGGGTGGGGAGCTGAGTTGGGAAGGTATGTGCACCGTGCAGTACCCACCTCCACCGTCACGTGTGTGATCCCAACCGCTCGGAATACATCCGAGACGCGCCGCCTCAACGACTGCCGCAGCTGCTGAACCGCCTCCAGCCGCCGCTGCTTGTCCCCGTACTCGCTATAAGCATCTCCGTTATGTGCTGCTACACCTCCCTCGTTCGCTCTATCTTTGAGGCTATCTGGAGATATGAGCACGTGGATTGAGCCCACGAGCATCTTAGGAGTGAAGGACCAGAAGTGCCACTGCCGCACCGCCACCACCCCTGCCATTGACTCAATCTGCCATGGGCAATGGGATGATGGGTCGGGCATCGGAAACACATGTGGATGACTTTGATTAATAAGAGAAAGGGTGACAGGCGTGGTGCATGGAATGGGGCGTGGGGGATGAAATGGGGTGACGGTGCCTAGATCTGGAACCCTGAAACTCACTGGACAGTCAAAACAATGTAGTCCCACCCACCCGCTCACCTTCTTCAGGGCAGCTGAGATCTGGTGCTCTGCTGCCCGGGCACTCTTTGAAGAATAATTTCAGCAGAGTTTTGCAGCAGAGGGATGACAGTGCTGATGATGAGCGCTGATATGAATATGGAACACGCCTGGTGGTTGTGCGGAGGAGAGAAAGGGGAGAGGAGGAGAGGTGGGGAGAGAAGGGGAGAGAGGGGAAGATAGGGAAGATAAGGGGAGGTACAGGGGAAGAGAAGGGCAAGGAGAAGCCAGAGGAGGAAGGATGAGCAGAGGGATTTCAATGTTCACGATGAGCATGCCTCGTGATTCCAATGACATGAACATGGAAGATGCCTCGTGGTGTAGTGGGGCAGAGAACGGGTTGGAAAGGGGCAAAAGGTATGAATATGGAACAAAAGGGCCCGGCCAGTCTGGAAGCAAGCATGAGTGCCTTACTGCAGATAAAACGTTGGACCTTGTGGATTCTCACTGGGTCTGTGAGCATTCAGCCCTTGTACTTGATAAGAAGGGTCAATACCCCCACACCCACGCTCACACACCCACACACTGCCAAACCCTTGCCCTGCCGTACAGGCATGCACCCCTGTATTTCTCTCCCATTCAACCTCTCCTTACCGGGTCTGTGAGCATCCAGCCCTTGTAATTGATGAGGAGTGTCGATATCACCACCCCCATACGGCCCATTCGAAGCATGTGCAATGGCACACCCACACCCCCTACAAGCAAGGAAAAACTGGCCCTTGTTTGCCCCCTCTCCTCACCGGGTCTGTGAGCATCCAGCCCTTGTACTTGATAAGCAGGGTCGATATCACCACCCCCACACTTCCCAGTGTGTCTGCCAACACGTGCAGGAAGATTCCTGGACGGAGGCCATGGGTGGGACGTATTAGAGAGTAACGAAGTGTTGAGCGACAGGGGTAAAGGAGAGAAGGAGGGTATGTGTGCGAATGTGGAGACAGAAAACGACCCAGGACGTGAGAGAGGGAAAAAGGAGGGAGAATCCAACATGTGGGGAGAGCGGGAGCGCAGAAGGGAGAGGGAGAGGGAGGCTAGATTAGAGGGAGATAGAGGGAGGGGGAGAGAGGCAGGAGAGCTCACCACGCATGTTGTGGTCCACATGGGCACTGCCGGATGTGAGCACCTCTTGCACACATGCCTCTCCTCCCTCCCCGTCTCCACCTCCCACATCCCCATGCCCATGCCCACCTCCCACATCCATGCTCAACGACGAGCATGATGCATCATGGGTCATGGCTTTACTCTCATGCTCATGCTCATGTGTGTGCCCATTCCCATGCTGATGCCTGTGCTTATGCCCGTGCACATGTTCATGCGGATTTTCTTCCCCATCCAACTTGCTCTCTCCTGCCCACTCCTCGAAATCCAGCCTCACGGGCAGCGCCTGAAAACTTTCATCTCCTACTGCAGCAGCACCCCCTTCCCCTATTCTCCTCCTCGCTTTGTGCACGGCCAAAAGTTTCTCTGCCCCTGACGATGGTAGTGCTGGTGACTCAAACGAAGGTGATGATACAGAGATGGGTGATTGTAAGAGTGATCTGGTGGTCATGGTGCTGTTGCTCCTGGCATCTTCCCAATTCTCCTGCTCCCATTCGTCCCCTTCTAGTGCACTCCCCCCCTCATGCCTATGCCCGTTTCCATGCCCATGCCCATGGTCGCATCCATGCATGTCCTTATGATGATAATGTGGCGTGTGGTGCTCATGGTGATGATGCCCCTCGTGCTGGTGCGCATGTCTTTTGCAATCATGATCGTGCGTATGTGCATGCTCATGCCTATGGTTCAGCTCGTGCTCATGCTCATGCTTATGCTCATGCTTATGCTCATGATCGTGGTCGTGGTTATGGTGGGAATGGTTATCTTGATGCTCGTGATGATGATGATGATGGTCGTCATGATGGGAATGGGTGCATGACCCACCATGGGCATGCCCATGCTCATGCTTGTGCTCGTGCCCATGGTGCGAATGAGAATGGGAGTGGTCATGCACATGCGAGTGGGAGTGGTCATGGTCATGGGAGTGCGAGCAGGTGCCCCCATGTGCGTGGTGGTGGGCCTCATGGAAGAACACGAGTCCCACCATGTTCACCACCAGGCCCCCCACCGACACCGCCAGCAGGTTTGCCGTTGATATGTCCGGTGGGTCAAGGATTCTGGAGTGAGAAAGAAGGAGTGAGAATGGGACAACACGAGGAAGGCAGGAGGGTGAAGAAGGCAGGATCTAGACAGAAAGGGAGACAGGAGTGAAGCTCTAAAGCACGCTCAGAAGCGAGCTTTAAACACGCTCTGAAATAATCAAGCTGTTTGGTTTGAACGACATGCAGGAGATAGTTGTGTTTCCACACGGCGAAACACAAGAGAAACGAAAACCATGGACAGAAGGAGGGCGCACCTTTCAATGGACTCAAAAACGATGAGCGTGGCGATGAGTACGAGAAAGACTGCATTCAGCCCGATAGCAGGAGAGTTTGAAAAATAACAACTAAAAAGTCTCCTGCATAATCAAAGGCGCACCTTTCAATGGACTCAAAGACGATGAGTGCGGCGATGAGTATGAGAAAGACCGCATTGACAAAGCCCGATAGCACCTCAAAGCGACCATAGCTGCACGAGGGAAGCCGCGCAGATGGCATGGGAAAAGGGTGGGAAGGGACAGGAGGCAATGGGATGGGATGGGTGGGATGACATAAGAAATGGTGAAGAGAGATTGAGTGATATCTGGCGACAACTCAGAGCAGCAAATGCGGCAGGAAGGCGAGATTTTCACGAACCCGTAGGCAAACTTAGAAGGGGAGTCGAGGCGGGAGATGTAGGAGGCATATAGGCCGATGGCGAGCGCAGCACAGTCGAAGAGCATGTGACAGGCGTCTGATATGAGCCCGAGACTGGTGGTTGTGGGAGGAGGGTGTGGGAATAGGACGAGGGAGGGGAAGAAGCAGAAATGAGCGTGGGAGAATGGCATTAACACACAGCCCCAGGGACCTGTGTTACATGGCATTTGCACACTACTGAGGAGCCATGGATTGAGCAAGCCTCGTTTCATAGCACCAAGCAGCACTACGCGAATCTATTCCTAGTCCCATGCAATCAGGCCAGCGAATGAAAACTTCCAAAACCAGAATCGATTTAACCGGAATCAGTCCAGCCCAAATAGGGTCAGCCCAAACGCACCTGTTGGAGAGGAAGCCGACGGAGAACTCGACGATCATAAACGCTGCGTTGATGAGGAGAAAGACTGGCGGCGGGGAGAGCGGCGAGGCACGTGGAATGGGAGGCGGGTGGGAGGAGAAAGAGGAGGACAAAGGGAGTTAAAAAGGAGGTTGACAAAGGTTAAATAAGGAAAGAAGCTCGAGGTAAGGGAGGAAAAACTTAAGGAGGTCATGTGTGAGAGGACGTGCAGAGTTGATGAAACGAATTAATTCGCATACTTATTTTTTTGAAGGGCCTAGAATATCTAACCTAAACCGCTCCATGCACTCCCGATTGTAATTGAGATAACATGTCTGACTATTTCTGGTTTCATCAAGACTCAAATTCACCGTTTCTCATATCTAACGCATGCGAAAACTTTTGGAAATCGAGAATGCACCATGGAGCAGGGATCGTGCTGCTATGATTCATTCAGACAGGCCCACATCCCCATTGCACCACTGTTGCAACAAGTACGCGTGTCTGCTTGCTTCCTAGCCCGTGGCCATACGTACGCGCAATACGGCGTGACTTGGAATCAGACATGACGTGGTCCATGGCTCCCTGCGGGTGTGTGCACAACACGTCCCACGGCAGGAGAGGGCAGGATACCACACGTCAGTCACTCTTCCAAGCCAGGCTCTTTTTGCCTGCGCTCGTGAGGAAAGAAAGGGTGCAACAAGGAGGAAGTACTAGGTACGGACCTATAGGAGAAAGACAGGGAATATAACGGAAAGTGGGCCCCGCTGACTGGACGACCGGGGCAGCTTAGAAAAAAAAAAAAAAAAAAAAATCGTCAAACATCGCGGCTGCTTTCGAATCAGACATGACTACGAGCGGTGCTTTCCCAGTGTGTATGCAAGCCCCTCTGGATTAAGCAACTTCAGCTCATTTCAAAAACAAGAGCCAGTTCAGGTCAGACTCAGCAACGAGAGCTGGACCTCACAGGGTTTCGATTCAGCCCATGCCGTAATGCTTTCCCACCCACCAACCTTGCACCAGATAACCCATTTGAACCCATCACTTCTGGACGATTGGAAGTGCGAGTGCACATGCTTGCAGCATTCTGTTGCTTCCTCCTTGCCCCACACACGCACTGACCTGCAGCATGGCGAGGGCCGCCGTTCTGCGCCTCTCCTTGGCCGCCACCCCATCCTCTGCCAGCGACCCCGCTGACTTGCTGCGCTCTATGGCCGTGGACCAGTGCAGGCCTGGTTGGGGAGAGAGGGCAGGGCAGGGTTGAGACGAAGACACTTGACTCTCAGAGAAACGACCCCACTGATTGGCAAGAACCCGGTTGCCTTGTTAACATTGACATGGACTCCTCAATCAGAAGGACGGAGAGTGTGCATAAGAAGGGAGAGAAAAAGAGGAAAAGAAGAAGGGGCGTGTGGTGGGGTTGCAGGGAGGAGGGGCTGTGGGGTGTAGTGGATAAGAGGGAGGCTGAAAGATGGAATGTGGAAGGAGGTGCAGGAAGGAGGTTACCAGCGGCAAGGAGGAGGGCGATGAGGACGAAGGAGAGGGGGCAGAAGTGCATGCGATAGATGAGTAGCAGCGCCACCACCGCCACACTCGTCACCAACAGGTGCTTCAGTGATGACGGGCCGATGCGCAGCCTGCAAGAGGGGGAGAAGGGAGGGAGAAAAGGGGGAAGGGGGGGTCAAGGAATGGGGGGCGAAGGGGGTGGGGAGAGGGGGGGAAGACGGGGGGAAGAGGAGGGGAAGGGAGGGGAAGAGGGAGAGAAGGGGAGAAAGAGGGGTTGGAGGGGGAAGAGGGGAGAGACACGACCAGCATAGAAAAGAACACGAGCCCCAGCAGGATCACTTTCCAGAGGCCCCAAACCCACTTCTTCCCACCCCCCCACTCCATCCCCTCCCATCCTCCCCCCCCACTCCCCTCTCCCCCCCCCCCTCCGCCCACCTCCCCCATCCCTCCCCCTTCCCCCCACTCACTTGTCTTCCGCCAGTGTGTCGACATAGAAGGAGAACACGAGTCCTGCCAGGATCACCAGAGCATACATCTGCAGCGAGGTGTCTTCGGAATAGAGTCCTCTCCCTTTCCCTCTCCCTCTCAACCCCCCTCGTCTACTGCTCCCCCTCCTCCCACTTACTTGTCTTCCGCCAGTGTATCGACATAGAAGGAGAACACGAGCCCAGCCAGGATCACCAGCGCATACACCTGCAGCGGCCGCCCCCCTGCCTCCAGGTCCAGAGCTTGTGCCCCCTGGCGGATGGTGTGAGCGAGAGGAGAAGGGAAGAAGTGGGGAAGCGCGAGAGGAGATGGGAGGTTTTGAGGCGCCTGGAAAGGGCTGCGCCCCCACCTCCAGGTCCAAGGCTTGCGCTCCCTGGCGGGTGGTGTGGGCAAGTGGGGGAGGAGTAGAAGAGAGAGAAGCGATGAGGGGGCTTTGGAGCACAACAGGGGGAAACGGAGGCAGAGCAGGGGATGGCGCACAGAGAAGAGATGGGAAGAAAAAGGAGGCCTAAAGAAAGCTCTCTTGGAAGGCTCATCGCTCAGGCTGCTTTTACTTTTCCACAGTGGCAGCCTGTTCACTCTGCCACGTGGCACTCACCCCGCTGAGCTGGAAGATGGCGATGGGCAGGAGGAAGAAGACAGAGGACACTGCCGTGACTGCATGCAGTCGCTTCTTCTGCTGCGACTGGCGGATGGGAGAGGGAGAGGGCAAGACAGGAGGTGGGACGAGGGAAGCAGGGAGGGGACCCAGGTGACTCGGTGTAAGAAAGCAGCACCTAACGCAGCAGGTCAGATACAAATAGACAATGCGAACATGCAGATGGAGCACAAAGGGAGCAAGCATGAAAATAGATGATGCAGTGCAATGCGATGAAATGCAGGGACACCTGACGTTTACGAAACAAATATCATCAATACCACCGGATATATTTGCTTGCATCAACAGCAAAGCACCCGGCTCCTACAGATTTCGTACTGGAGCTTCGCTCATACCTTTCCTAGCCGGGCAAGCAGTCGTCTCAGCGCAAAGAGCACTCCAGCAGCCACAGGCAGCAGCATGGCAGTCAACGGATTCCCCCCACCTGCTTCCACCATCCCACTCCCAGACATCCGCGCAACCTGCCACGCCAACAACCCCGTACCTCCCTCCCCTCCTGCCGCCCCACCTCCCGCTGCCCCTGCTGCTCCCCCCTTGCTGCTGCTGCCTGTGCTGCTGCCAGTGCCGTCGGCGGCTGTGCCGGTGGCAGTGGCGGCGGCAGTACTGTCTAGGCCCAAGGGGACGGGATTGGCGGGAGGTGGGAAGTCCGGTGGAAGAGTGGGGCCCAGCGGAATTCCGGAGGCGAGGAGATAGAAGGCAGCGAGCATGGCAATGGCGCCGTACAGCTGCACAGGGGAAGGAGGAGTCCGGGAGGAGGAAATGTGGGGCCGACGGCAGTGGTTGGAACAAGCATTGCTATTGAACGGCTGCACTGAAACGTAGCCTACGACTCTCTCATCAAGATTCGTTCCTTCCTTTATCGGCCACGCCTTACCTTGAGCACGCGGTGACCTCGCCGCCCGAAGATCATTGTGGATACGGTGGCAACCACCGCTGGTAGTCACTTAACCAAATTGTGTGCCTGTCTGGGTGCCTCCATTTGTGATGCGACCACCCGCGCTCACCTTGAGCACGCGGTGACCTCGCCGCCCGAAGATCATTGTGGATATGGTGGCAACCACCGCTCCCGAGTACTCCGCCATTACCGACCTTATGGACGGGGAATGAGCAACAGTTCAAGGAGAGGGACGAAGGCCGTGAGGGGATTTTTGAGCCGCCTCAAAAATCGAATATCATTGTGGATATGGTGGCAACCACCGCTCCTGAGTACTCGCCATCACAGACCTGATGGACGGGAATATCCACCATTGAAGGAAAAGCCGGGAGGCTGTGGGGTGAGGGAGTGGCATGTTTTTGGGGAAAGAGAGAGCACATGCCACTTTCACGAACTTTTCACGGACCATTCACTTCTAGCTTCACTCACTTCTAGCTTCAAGGAAACTTGAAAGAACTGGAGACTGGAGACTAAAGAGGGAGGGCGTACTCACCTTAAAGGACCACACTGCTTCAGACCGTACGCCCATGTGACAACAGCGAGGGCCAACACGCCTCCATTCATCACTGAGATGCCCCACTGGTCATGTGACACAAACGGGGTAGCAGGAAGGGACCCGGGTGGGGGGGAAGGGAGGGGGAAAGGGGGTGATGGATGAAAAGGAGAAAACGAGGGAGAATGAAACCGAGGGAGAAAACGGCAGGAGCAGGACCACAATGGGGGTGAGCAACGGAAAGAGCAACACACGTGAAGCTTTACACCGAGAACACGGCCAGCCCGTGCAGAGATCTCGAACGCTGGCTTACGGATAGCTCGAATATCAGTGAACAGGGACTACTTGAGGTGGATGACGCGTTGCCTGGGTGCCGAAAAGGCGTTGCTTTGGTGTCGGCAAGGTTTACCTGGGTGTTGGTGAGTCGTTTGCCTTTCCAGGGCCGTTGGAGGAGGAAGAAGAGGATGGCGGCGCCGAGGAGCGAGAAGAAGGCGAAGAGCAGCACCGACACGTCCGACTCCACCAGGAAGCGGTACGCCGCGAATACCGACAGCACGCGCAGCGACCGCCCCACGACGTAGAACGCGTGAAGCGGCGCGTGCGACTGCTGCTGCACCCTGTGCGAGAGATTCGCGGGAAAAAGGATGGATCGAGTAGGGAGATAGAGGCACGCATACGAGGTAGAGTGGGTATTTCCTGTCGGAACAGGTTTGGTAACTTGCAGAAACGGACAATCGAATTTTGAGTGTAACCGGTGATAGGTGTCGTGTGACTGTAACAAGCGGTCGCACCTCGATGTGCCGGGACCCAGGTGCCATCGATTCAGTCGTGCGACGCCTTCGCCGATGGAACTTTCGTCGGACAGCATCGCACATGCGACGGCGACGCGACGAGGTCACAGCTAACAGTACAACGTGGTGAACAGAATCAACGCGAAATCTACACGATCCTCTTTTTCTCCTTGCTTTCGTAAGGAAGGCGGGATCTTCGAAGCGCTAAGGCGACGGTGCTGTCAGAATAACTTCTTGGCTTTGGATGGCTCCTACGGTCGCGATCAAGGAATCCAGAGGCTCCTCACAGAAGCCTCTTCCATTGCCCGTGCACTACTTATCATGTCTTCGCTGAACGAAGTTTAGGCCGCTAGGCGTCCCGCTGATAACCGTAAGATTAAGCAACGTTACTGCTTCCCAGTGCAACGCTAAGCCGGCACTTGAACACGCCAGTGATGACTCATGCGATTGCTTATGCGCAGAACGAAGACTGCCGGCCCCGAGAGCAGTCAGAACCAAGATGCGCGTCTAAAACACACGCCGTAAGCTCCCAGTGTTATCGCGGATTCGAGGATCAACTGAAGGCTTGAGCGTACTAAGTCCTGACTGATCACAGGTATAGCAATCTCAGGGGATCCTCGATGTTGGTCTGACAGATCTCCCGCTCCTGGCAATTCTCGAGGGAGACAAGATCGAAACTGGGAAAACTGCTAATAACGAGTCGACGAGCCCGTACTCCATGACTTTCATCCTACAAAAGGAATCATGGTTCATAAATCTAAGTCCTATTAATCAATTGGTGATTCTTCTAACCATTATTACACGATAGGCCTGTAATGATGTTTCTGCTTACCTATAGCACAGCCGCCATTTACCAATTCCCAACACATTGAAAAGGTGAAAAGGGCTGCGTCGGGAAATCATGTTTTCCTGTAACCATCATTCTTTCCTGGCCCACATACACCCTGCAGCCTCAAGATCGAGTTTCAATTTTAGCGCGGAAAGGCTGACCCTCCTCTTCCCAACTACCTTGGGATCGTCGCCAATTCACCTGATCATCCATAGCCTTTCCGTACGACCTGATCCCAAGAATAGCAGCAACGCGAATAATTTTCAGGACCACTTCTGAGTAATAAAAGAAAAGTGTAAGTTTCTGGACCACAGCGCGTTGAACGTGAGTGAAATGTATGTTTGTGTCTTTCACAGCGTTGCTAACCGAGGCGCTCAGCGCATATCGCTACATTGTACGTCGCACTGCAAAGATAACTGGATGTTGCCCTAGGAAGCAAATCGCGCGCGCGAAGTTATGACGACTGGTCCCGAGGAGATTCCTGTTTCTGGCCGTGTCGATACCACCGCTGCAGACGCCAGTAATGCTGGTAATGCTGGTACTGCCAACGCAGCTACCGCTGCTGTTAATGCTGGTACTGACGCTCCTTCTGCGGAGGAACGCCAAATCCCAGAAGCGAGCGGAGCAGCTGGGTCATCCTCCGAGTCAGTTCGGCAGGATGCTGGGACCATACTGGGATCAGAGCAGAATGCTGCGACCATACTGGGATCGGAGCCAACCAGAAACGAAACGACCCGTGAGTCAACTCTGGAGTCCGGTCAAAACCCACCAGCCGTAGACACAGGTCGAGGGGAGAAGGCGGGGGGAGGACCAGCAGCGAATGAATCATCTAGTCAAGCGCCAACGGTAGGGGATACAGTAATGCTGGAATCTGGAAGCAGTTTAGTGGCCGGTCGCTCAGGAAACGGCAGGCTAGAAGCAGCCCTACCTAGAGAATCCAACACGACTGCTGATGCTGGTTATACGGGTGCTCCAATCCGCAATGACGCGACGGCGGCTAAAGCAATGGGGCCGTCGTCGTCAACTGGCGGAGTGCTGCCTTCGACAGCATCAGCAGCAGCAGCTTGCGCACCTGACAGCAGCAGCAGCAGCGGCAGCAGCGGCAGCAGCAGCAGCAGGCTCAGCCCCATCAGCAGCAGCGGTCTCCACAACAAGTTTATCGGTAACAGCCATCTCAACAGCAGCAGCAGTCCCAGCAGCAGCATCTGCCCCCACTACAGCAGCAGCAGCGCCAGCAGCAGCAGCAGCAGCAGCAGTGGCAGCAGCAGCAGCAGCCCCAGCAGCAGCTGTACCCACTACAGCAGCAGTCCCCAGTGCGGACACAGGAGGTGCAACACAGATGCGGCGACGAGCCATCCCTACCTTGACCGTTGACTTGGACAGCACCAACGCTGCCAGCAGCCAGCAGCAGGGTGGAGAAGGGGACCAAGACACTCCAGATGACTCCTCTAGGGCGCGTTCCTCTGCTTTGCCGTTCCGTTTCAGCATAGGGCTGCCTTTTGGAGCGTTGTGGGAGAGTAGAGTGGTTAAAGCAGTGGCGCCTGTGGCGGAGGGAGTGTGGGAGTGGATGGGGGGGAGTATAACCCCCGTGGGAGCGGATGAGGTGGACGGGGAGGGAGTGCGGTATGAGGTGGTGGGAGGTGGGTTCTACGGGATGGACGGGGATGAGACGGGGAGTGAGAGCGGTAGGGACACGCCTGGGTCCGCTCGTGCTGGTCTAGACGGGCTTGGCTGTCAGCCAGAACGTGAATCAGTCAAGCTTAGGTCTGAAACAGCAGCAGCAGCAGCAGCAGCAGTAACAGCAGGGGTGAGAGGAGACGGAGGAAGTGCGAAAGCAAACAGACGAAGGGGATGTTTACAATGGTGCTTTCTCAGAGGCCGCCGCAGCAGCCTGACCTCTTTCCTCACAGGCCACCGCGAGTCTCCTCCCACCTCCCCATCCGCCTCCCCAAGCCGCAAGCGCCGCCGCTCCCGCCACTGCTGCCGCATCCACCCGCTGCTGCTCGCCCCGCTGCTGCTGCTGCTGCTCGGGTGCGCGCTGCTGGGCCTGTACTTGCTGTCTGCACGAGAGGGCGCGCTGGTGGAGGGGATAAGGAGCGCGGGGGCGAAGGTGCGCAGGGAGGGACAGCAGGCAGTTCCTGGAGTTGGGGGTTGGGAGAGGAGCGGTGGAGGGGTGGGGTCTGGACAGGGTGCATGGGAGAAGGTGGGAGGGTTGGGAGGGACGGGCTGGTTGGGAGGGGGTGTGGAGGGAAGAGAGGGGGGCGCGGAGTTGGGGGGTCAAGTACGGAACCAGGAACGGGAGCAGGGGTTGCAGGAGCAAGGGTTGAGAGAAGGCGAAGGGGAAGGGCAGGTGGGAGATGGCAGGGAAAACAGAGATGCGAATGGAGGGGCGGGCGGGGGCATGGCAGCAGACAACGAAGAGCAGGGAGGAGACGGTGGGGGAGCGGTTACAGAGGGGATGCATGAGGAGGCCAGAACAGGAGGAGAGAGTGGGGGAGGGGAACAAGGTGGGGGAGGTGTAGCAGAGGCGGTGCATGAGGAAGCAGCAGCAGGAGGGGAAAGTGGGGGAGGGGAAGGAGGTGGGTCAGAGTCAGAACCCTCGAGTACCGCCACTCAGGGGGACTCGGATCAAAACGAAGCTCACCAAGAAACACCAGAGCAACAGGCGAACTCAGAGCAGAGCCAAGAACAGCCGGCAGACACGAGCAGCACTAGCACCAGTAGTGGTGGCGACGGCGGCAGCGGCGACGGCAGCAGCACCACCTCCACCCTCAGCGAGCTGTGGCGCAGACCAGCCTCGCTTATGTTCCACACGCGCACGTCCCGGCGGTGCAGGGAGCAGCGCACGATGGCAGCGTGCGGGCCACGGCAGGGAGTGGTGATCGCACGGGGCAGCCTGGAGGAGCGCCTGGAGGCCGTGTGCGCCGCTGAGGCGCTCACTGTGCTCGCCAACACCCGCTTCCGCGCCCTCTGGACCCTCCGCCCCCGCCCCCGCTCCTTCCCCAAACGCCCCCACACCCTCCCCCAGAGTCGGAATGCCGGAGGGGTGCTTGGGGGAAGGGGGCCGCACCGGCGGAGGCTGTTAGGGGAGATTACAGGAGAAGAGGAGCTTAGGAGGTTGAGAGAGGCCAGACGGAGGAGAATGAGGAGGAGAATGAGGAGGAGGAGCGGGGGAGGAGTGGGGGGAGGGGAGGGGGAGAAGAGACAGGGGGCGGAGGCTGGGGGTGGGGAGGCGGAGGGTAGCATGGCGGGGGAGGTGGGGATGGTGCGGTTTGGCGACCTGTTTGATGCGCGCATGCCTGTGGACGTGCAGGAGAACGCCACTGAGTTCCTGCTCAGGCATGTGGTGGCGGGGGAGAAACTCATGCGGCGAGAGGTGAGTCAGTTCTTGGATCCTCAGTGCCTGAGTGCCTGCACCCACGGTTTGGGGACCCGTATGATGCAGCACGCATGCCAGTAGACGTGCAGGAGACGCCACTGAGTTCCTGTTGCGTCACGTGGTGGCTGGAGAAATTCTCGTGCGTAGAGAGGTGAGTCAAACCGCTAGCTGTCAACGATATGGCTATCAAAACTCCACCGCACAATCCTATCCAACCCCCTTCCGCTTCTCTCCTTCCCCTCCCTCCCTCAGATATCCTTCATCCGCTGCCCCGAGCCGGCAGGCCCCAGGGTGGCAACAGGAGCAGAGCTGCTGAGGGTGACACCAGACGTGCGCCGATACGCCCAGGAGGTTTCCCGCATGCGCCAAGCCACTGGCTGGACTCCCCAGCAGGGAGGGAATTCCAATTCCAATTCCCAGGAAGTGGTGAATTCCCAAGGGTGGGATTCCCAGGGATCCGCCAGCAGTAACAGCACGAGGGTGGAGAGCGGTGCAGACCGGTACGGGCACTGGACGGCGCGGCTGCAGCTGTACACTGTGCGGGGGCTGGAGCTGCCGGACTTTGCGGACCGGCGCGTGGCATGCCGGTACGAGGAGGAGGTGCGGGCGTGCCTGGGGAAGCTACAGCCGTCCGATGCAGTCCTCGATCTGATTCGCCAGGAGGAAGAGGAGGGTGGAGAGGGGGAGGAGCAGAGGGAAGGGGGGGAAGGGAGGGGTGAAGGGGCGGAAGGGGCGGGTGGTGAGGAGAATGGAAGTGAGGGGAGGGAACAGGAGGAGGGTTCACGGGGGCGGGGAGTGGGGGAGAAGCGGGATGGCAGCAGCATCGGGGAGATTGTTGCACGGAGCACAGCAGTTTATCTGGAGGTGAGTGCATTGCATAAGTGGAAAGGAGAGTAGTGACGATGCAAGCTGGCTGTGTGCCTTGTTTCGTGCTGCCTGCCTGCCCCTTCACGTCTTAACCGCCCGCCCTGACAATGCAACCAGCATCCCCTAACGGGAGGGAGTAGAAAGTGACAATGCAAGCTGGCTGCGTGCATTGTTCTGTGCTGCCTTCCTGACCTGTTTCCCTCTCTCCTCCCGCCGCCCGTCCTCTCCCATTCCAGCCCACCCCTCCCTGGACGCTCCCCCAGGCCCGTGCGCTGCCCTGTGCAGGCTGCCCGCCCGCTGATCTCCTAAACTGCACCATGCGCCACATTGCGTACCACTACATGCGCACACACGCCCCTTCTCCCTCCTCATCCTCCTCCTCTGACTCCTCTTACTCCTCTGATTCCTCCGCCTCCTCCGCCTCCTCCTCCGACCCCTCCCGCCTGCTGCCTGACTTCCTAGTCGGCGCGTACTGGCCGTCGGATGCTCAGACGCTCATCTCAGCCTTCCATCCGCTCCGCCGGCCGTACGTCCTCAGGCTGACACGTCGGCGCCAGCTGGCATGCCCGTCACCACCCCCTCTCGCCCTGCGCCCCGAGCGGGGATCGTTGAGGTGTGAGGAGCAGATGGGGATGCGAGGAATCAAGTACAGGCGGGTGGGATGGCGAACGCAGGGGGCAGCAAGAAGGGGAACGGAAGGGGGAGACAGGGAGGTAATGCAGGGTGCACAGGGCGCACAGGGCGCACAGGGGGCTCAGGGCACACAGGGAGCAGAGGGAGCACAGGGCGCACAGGGAACACAGGGAGGACAGCAGCAAGACTCGCTACTAAAGCTGCCCCAGCAGCAGCAGGTGCGGTTTGTTGACCCACCGAGAGCAGCAGGGCAGGGCGTGGCTCTGGACCTGAGAGTGGTCAGTGCGGCAGGCACGGGTGCTCAGGGGACTGACGGAGGCTTGCAGGGAGGGTTCGGGCAGGGAGGGGGTTCACAGGGAAGGGACGGGCAAGGGATGGGTGGGCAAGGAGGGGGCGGGCAGAAGAGCCAGTACTGGGCGATGAAGCAGCGGCTGAAGCAGCTGGCGCAGGAGAGGCAGCGGAGGAGAGGCGGCCGTGGGGGGGACAATGCAGGGGGCGCTCTTGAGGGCTCTGGCAGTGGGGTGTCCAACAGGCAAAGGCTTTTGGCTGCTGAGTCTGCGACTTTGGAAACGTCTCGAAAGCCGGGGGGCGTTATTGGGGGCTATGGCAGTGGGGTGCCAAACAGGAGAAGACTTTTGGGTGCTGACCCAGCGCTGACGTGGCGGCAGCTGGCGGAGCTGCAGGAGGAAGAGGCGACTCGGAAGGCAGGGGCGTCAAAGCGGAGAGATGACCGGCTGTGTGCGCGACTGAGGGTAGGCATGCAGGGCATGAAGGCGTGAGGGCAGGAAGTGCTGTGTGTAATGGGCATGAGGAAGGGGCTGTGTGCATGACTGAGAGGATAGATATATGGCTGAGAGGGCAGGGGCGTCCAAGCGGAGAGATGACCGGCTGTGTGCGCGACTGAGGGTAGGCATGCAGGGTACGGTGTGGGGGATTGGGGGGCATGACCAGCTGTGTGCTCGACTAAGGTTAGGCATGGGGGCACCGGGGCATAGGGGCATAAAGCATGTGGGGCTGTGCATGCGTCGATTTAACCTGTGACATGTGACGAGTTCGCATCAGACCAAGCATAGGCATGAGCAACAACCATTCCTCATCAGCCCTCCTTCCCTCCCTCCCTCTCACCGTCTCCCCACACCTCCAGCTGGCGGAGCTGTATTGGCTGTCACGAGCGCAGGCGGTGATTAATCTGTACCGCAGCACAGCTGCCGACTTCATCCGCGCCCAGATGGCCTTCCGCCTCCACCACACTTCCACCTCCTCCTCCTCCACCACTGCCACCACCACTCTTGGGGAGGGCGGGAGCCTGGATGATACACGTGCCACCAGCGCTGCCGGTGGCGGTACTCGGAGGGGTGACGAGCTGAGCGTGTGCCAAGCGCCCCCACTGCCGCCTGTCATCAAGAGCCGTGCAGCGCGGCACATGATTGTCGATGGTGAGGCCGCCTGCCCTTCAGCTGCTCCTCCGCTGCTCCCATGCCTCTGGTTTGCCTCGCTACCAAACATGCCTCAGTAATCCTGGAACATCAAGCGTCTACCTTCTGCTACACCCTCCAGGTGCCCTCTTGCTCCCCTGTTATCTCCCCCATATCCCCCCTTCGCCCTTTGCGCCCCCTCTTTTTCCTCTCTTTCCTCTCTTTCCTCTCTCCCTCAGCTTCTCCTCAGAGCGTCTCAAGGCGGTGTACTGCTACATCCCCAAGGTGGCGTGCACAAGGTTCTTGCCCATTCCCCCACCTCTCCATTTCCACCTTCCCTCCCTTCCCTCCCTTCACTCCATTCACCCCTGCTTCTCCCGCACAGCGTCTCAAGGCGGTGTACTGCTACATCCCCAAGGCAGCCTGCACGAGCTGCTTGCTCATACCCCCGCCTCCCCGTTTCCACCTTTCCTCCCTTCCCCCCCTCCCTCCCTCGCTCCTTTCCCCATTGTTTCTCCCGCAGAGCGTCTCAAGGCGGTGTACTGCTACATCCCCAAGGCAGCCTGCACGAGCTGGAAGCTGTGGTTCCAGCAGCAGCGCGGCCGCACCTCCTCTCATGACGTGGAGCATGTACACGATGCTGACGCCAGTGGCCTGGACGAGCTCTGGTGAGTTGAGACCTGATTTGGCAGTTCACAGGAGTTTTGGGCGCACCCAAAACTCGACCCAGTGCGGCCGCACCTCCTCTGATGATGTGGAGCATGTGCACGACAATGCTGAGCTGACTCTAGTGGCCTGACAAGCTATGGTGAGTATGACCCTGGTATGGTTTACGCTTTGCCTTCGTGCACATCCTCTTCCTTTTACTTCTGCTGCTCGCTGCCCCCTTTGCACCCAACCCCTGGACGTGCCTTTTGTTTCCGTTCCCCATAGTCTTCTGTACACCCACCCCACTTTCTCCCACTTGCAGGCACGCATTCACAGAGAGTGAGGCCATTCGCATGCTCACCCGCCCGGACCTCTTCCGCTTCACCTTCATGCGCAACCCCTTCCTTTGACTTCTTTTCGCTGTCCCCCTCTCCGTTTTCATCTCCTCCCACCCTCAGGCACGCATTCACAGAGAGCGAGGCCATTCGTGTGCTGACCCGCCCTGACATGTTCCGCTTCACCTTTGTGCGCAACCCCTTCTCCCGTGTCGCCTCTGCGTACCTCAACAAGCATGTCGCCTGGGCTGACCCCAAGGACCGCCTTGACTGGAACAAGGTGTGCACCGCACCGCACTGAACCGCACAACCACATTTGCACTCACTCGCTCTTTCAGCTTTCCTTCTGACAAGCACGTCGCCTTGGCTGAACCCAAGGATCGCCTGCAGTGGAACAAGGTGCGCACCGCACTGCACCGCACAAACGCACTTGCACTCACACGCGCTTCCTGTCTTCCACAACAAGCATGTTGAGTGCCGAGATTCTTCGCGCGGAAAGGGGCCAGGCTGCAGCAGATAGCGCCAGCGGGCACAGAGAGTACAACATCACCTCCTTCCCTCCCTCATGTCAACCCCATTCCTTCCTCCCACTTGAGTGCAGAGATTCTTCGGGTGGAAGGGCGCCAGGCTGCTGCAGATAGCACCAGCAGGCAAGAAAGTACAAGTTGACCTTCCTTCCCTCCTGTCACACCCTGTTACCACCTGAGTGCAGAGATTCTTCGGGTGGAAGGGCGCCAGGCTGCTGCAGATAGCACCAGCAGGCAAGAAAGTACAAGTTGACCTTCCTTCCCCACCCGAGTGCAGAGATTCTTCGGGTGGAAGGGCGCCAGGCTGCTGCAGATAGCGCCAGAGGGAGCGGATTACAACATGACCTTCGCCACCTTCGTCACTCTCGCCCTCGCCACTGTCAGACAACACCGCGCCGACATGGAGCCCCACATCGCACCGCAGGTGGGTGGTCTCCTCGCGGCTGCACAGGTGGGTCATTGCACCAGAGGTAGCGGAGCGGTTTACAACATGACCTTTGCCACCTTCGTCACTCTCGCCCTCGCCACTGTCAGGCAGCATCGCGCCGACGTGGAGCCCCACATCGCACCGCAGGTGAGTGTTCTTGTCGACTGCTCTTACCATTCTTTTCCTTCGCATCAGATCCTTTCCGCTTTGCGTTACCTTCTCTCGGCCTTGACCTCTCGTTCCCTCTTCCCCTTTGCCTCTCCACTCCTCCACTTTTCTCTTCCATCTCTTACCATTCAACGTCTGTCGCCTGTATGTAGCATTCAGACCTAACTTATTCCAATAACACTTTTGGTCAGGCTTGAGAAAAAGCACCATCCAACCAACTCCATCCCCTTGCTGTCGCTACCAGGTGGACTTGTGTGACTTGTGTGACTTGTGGGGAAAATTCAATCAGCTTTTCAAATCAGTTCCAACTTCCATCCTTCTGCTGTTGCCTACCAGGTGGATGTGTGTGACCTAGAGAGCATCAAGTACGATTTTGTGGGGAGATTCGAGCAGCTAGAGGAAGGGGTGGAGAATGTGATGAATCATCTGGGGGCTTCGCCCTTGAAAGCCTTTGGGGTGGGCAAGGAGGCTCATCGTACCGATGCTGACACACGCCTTCGAGAACTATACACAAAGGTAATGTGATGTGATGGAGACAGAAGGTTTGCTATGCTGGAAAACTTGTCATCTTCTTTGATAAGATATACTGTTGATGTCTGTACACCAATACCTGGTACGTGAACTTGTCCATTGCTGCATATCTGTTTGGCATGTTTCCTTGGCTTCTGTGTACAGGGAACCTTTGAGATGGTGAAGGGGCTGTATGCGTCAGATTTGAATGTTCCTCTTAATGGTGTACACTACGAGCCTCCAGCTGTGTTGAAAGATGCTTTCGAGCAAACTTCTTACTGAAACATGGGACTCTGACCATTCATGAAGTACGTACGAACTAATAATAACATTATAATAATTAGTACATTCATTGCACGTGATCTAGTATATTTTGCTGGAGTTTTCTATGTGCATCCTCCTCACCATTCCCCTTCTAGCCGTTGTCAAGCGAGCGTTCGCCACCAGAAACTGCCGTTGCGAAGAGGGATATTCGTGGTTACCCAAATCAGCGGTATCTCGCTCGATGATTTTCGTGCATGCCTCTGCAATCCCTAGGGTGGGGTTATTCCACTGACAATGCACAAGCCCGTCCCTGTAACCTAGTTCCAGATCCCGCTGTGACACCGAACCCGCCCAGCTCATCTAAGCTTGATTTTTGGATCCCCTCGCTCTCGATTCTCCTCTGAGATTGTAGACCGTCTGTCGATCTTAGCCTTTCGTTGCAGGGTTATTGTTTTATTTTGTATAGTCCTGCCGAGGATCTCTGGTTTAACGATATGGAGGGGTTCGATTATGAGGGCGATGCTGGAGTCGAGCAGCAGAATGCACCTGCTTCTGACTTCCAGTCGTACAACGGTGTAGGAGAACAGCAAGAAGAAGCTGCTGGCGGATATGCTCCCCCTGTAGAGGAAAACGGCACCTTTGACGGCGGAGCGAAACTTCCTCCGCCCTCACAGATGGGGTCCGAGGAGTCGATTCTGCTAAGGTGACGATTAAGCCAGATAGGAGAAGACGCTGTAAACTAGTGTTCATCTCAGACGAAAAAAACATATTGTGTCATTTCCATGCACCCTTTTCTCGATCAGGGAGTGGAGGCGGAAGAAGGCCATTGAGCTTGAAGAGAAGGCTCGTATTTCAAGAGAGAAGCATCAACAGGTGAGTTTTTCTGGGTAACAAATCAACATGGTCATTATAAAAAGGTTGCGATTCAGTCTTGACTCAGATTCATCTGATGAACTGCGGGAATGAGTGGCGGATAGGGATTATCGATGTTGAGTCGTCGATTTCATGGGATTGGTCCTTACCCCACTGATCAGGTGCTGGATGACGCGAAAGCCGAGCTTGAAGCATTTTACAAGAAGCGCGAGATGCAAGTCACACAGGCCAAGACGAACAACAGGTTCGTGGATGTTTTATTCCAGTCAGGTTCATCATGAGGTGTTTCAGTTCTGATTAGATGTATCTTTTTTCCGTTGTCAGGGAGAAGGAGAAGGCATATGTGGACAACCTCTTGAGTCTCAACTCTAAGCAGGGTGGGAACTACTGGGAGAGTGTGTGTGCCTTCACAAACTTTGATGTATCCATCAAGAAGGAGAAGGCGAAGAAGAAGGACGAGCCTACTCGCATGTCAACTCAGCTTAACGATGCTAAACCTGGCAAGCACACCGATCTAGCCCGCATGCGCCAGGTAAGCCAAGCTGTACCACCATCTTGTGTATCAGACGTGTTGTCAGCACCGCTTTACTTATAATTGGTTGTTTGGCTCCTGTCAGGTGTTACTGAAGCTGAAGCACAATCCTCCCCCAGCCTTTGCAGCTGCTGGCAGTACAGCTGATGCTCCAGCTGCTGCCGCTACCACATCTTCCAAGTCGTCGAAGTCCACAAAGGCAGCCATGAAGTAGTTATGCCAGCAGTCGTTCTTTTGACAGCTTGATTGTGAAATACTTTTCAGTCATTGGTTTCTTATTCAGACTGCCTTTATAATCCTAAGAAGCCTTCTGCTGTAAAGTCTCAACACATTTCATAGTGAAGTCATTCTGCATGAGCATAACACCTGTCTAAGCTGGTAGGTCACATGAAGGGTTTTTCTAATTCTGCTGCTACCTTGTAACCTTGTAGCTCTGCAAAGCAGCCAGGAAAAAAAATCAGGAAAATCATGTATGTACAACAGAGCTCCTGGTACGGTAGCAATGGAAAAACTTGTCACTTACCTTCACTTGTGCGAGCAGTTTCTTTGCATCAGGGTTTGTCTTGAAGTGGTCTCGTACAGGCTGCACAGCAATGCTCAAGGTTAGGAAATGCAGCAACATAGAAGGGCAAAGAGAAGGAAGCGGTGTGTAAAGTGGTGCATAGACTCACCTGGAGAATCTTATTGAGTGCTTTGGAAAGGGCCAGCTTGAGGTCACCTGGGTGGAGTTTACCCTCCTTATAGTCTGCACACAGCTGATCTGCATCAGTGTAGATGCTGAAGAGGGAAGGGGGAAAGAGAATGGGGAATTACAAGCGGCACAGAGTTATTATGCAAAGGGCACGGCAGTGAGAAATGGTATCAAAGCAAAGAAAGCATAATATACTCACACATTGCCTCCGTGCTCCTCCTTGCGCTCCACCTCGAACTGCTTGAACCAGGGCAGCACAATGTACTGCACGTAGGCAATGCACGGGTTGCCCTCCACCTCCCCTGGCGGGCAGAACGCCTTCTTAATCTTCACATTTACCTCAGCCTGCCAGAACCGATGCAAGGTAAAAATGGATTGCATGACCAGATACACCAATATTAGATACATCAGCAACCAATTGCTCAGGCTTGAGGAGTGGGTGCGTGATGCCTTGGGTGCCTTGAGGAGGCTTTCCCCATGACCAAGACTTCAGCTCGGACCTCCCACCCAGCATCCTAAACATCTCACCTCCTCGTCCTCCATGAAGATTGCAGAGTTGGGGTCACTCTTTGACATCTTCTCCTGCCCTTGCAACAACCCGGGCAGCATGTCTGCAGGCACACCAGACCTCAAACAGTGAATGCACGGAGGAGCCACAGAGGGATAGCACCAGGGATAGAGTAAACAATACGGACTGACAGAGTGTAGTAGGACGAGATTTCAAGAGCACGAGCCTCTACAGCCAGCTGTGCAGTGTTGGACAAAAGAAGGAGGAGAAGAAAAAAGCTTACGGTGGGAGAGGATGATGGGCTTCATCTTTCTCTTGATGTCGTCGCAATACTCTCTCGCCAGCACATTCACCTTGCGCTGATCCATGCCCAGCTGACAGATGTCCGCCTGCCATTGGCGCATACGACAGAAAAGGCAAGATGACCCACGGCTGGACGAAGGAATTAGAGAAAAAAACGCTTGGCACGCATGTCACGCACATAGGACCTGCGTTCCATGGATTTTTTGTGAGAACTGAACAAAATTCAAGTTGCGTCAAGAGCCAAGCGGACCTTGAGGAAGAAGATGTCGGCACACTGCTGTGGACCAGCAGTGTGTGCCATGGTTCAACTCAGGAATTTGTGCTGAAGAAACGGAAGAGGATGTGAGAAGGCAAGGTGACCTTGAGGAAGAAGATGTCGGCACACTGCTGTGGACCAGCAGTGTGTGCCATGGTTCAACTCAGGAATTTGTGCTGAAGAAACGGAAGAGGATGTGAGAAGGCAAGGTGACCTTGAGGAAGAAGATGTCGGCACACTGCATGCAGGGGTAGAAGATCTGTGCGGCTGACAGCTCGTCCGTCTCACTGCGCCCCATGATCTGTGAACACCTACAGCACTCCAGAAAAGGCGGGGGTGCAGGAGAAGAAAGAGCAGAGGGAGGGAGGGGGTGGAGGGGGAGGAAGTAAGAAACGACAGCTTGCTTGTCACTGCTCTCCTGCACAGTCGTTTCCTACCTAGCCCAACCCCCCTGCTTCCCCTCTCCACGGTCCCCTTTCCTCCTCCACCGCCCTCCTTCCTCTGCCTCCCCTCTCCCCACCCCCGCTTCCTCTGATCTCCCAGCTCAGAAACCTGGCAGCTTGTTGGTACTCTCCCTATTCAGGTCAGCACAAAACTTCCTCTGCCTGCCCACCTGAGGATCCGAGGCAGCTTGTTCTTCCTGGCAATATCCATGACGAGAGGCCAGTACTCGCCAGCACGACCGTTGATCTCCTCAGACGACCACAGGAACTCCACGCGCGTGAGTCCATGCCCACTGCGCTGAGGAGAAATTAGGCCCATGTGACCCATACCCACTCTAAACAAGGCCTCTCCCCCTGCTTGCCCACCTGAGAATCCTAGGGAGCTTGTTCTTCCGGGCGATATCCATAACCAGAGGCCAGTACTCCCCTGCGCGCCCGTTGATCTCCTCGGAAGACCACAGGAACTCCACGCGCGTGAGGTCCATGCCCACTGCGCGCCACACCTCCATCATGTAGCGACCGACGGTCTGGATCTTCTTGAGATCGCCGCCCATCTTGTTGTTCAGCTGCGCGAACCAGTCAGCCACCCAGAACTTGAAGATGCACCCTGACTGTGTGAGCTTGTTCACATTCAGGGCTTTCATCACTCCCTGGGGGTTGGGAGTGGTGGAGCGGGGTGAGGGAAGGTGGAGTTGGAACAACCAGTCCGCCACCCAGAACTTGAAGATGCACCCTGACTGGGTCAGGTTCAGTGCTTTCATCACTCCCTGAGTGTCGGGGTTTGGAAGGTAATGGGGGAGAGAACGGGGTAGGAGTGGTGGAGTCGGGTGGGGCACGGTGGTGTGAGAAACCAGTCCGCCACCCAGAACTTGAAGATGCACCCTGATTGGGTCAGCTTGTTCACATTCAGCGCTTTCATCACTCCCTGGAGGGAGGTGTGTGGGGGGGGCGAGGGGGGGAAAAGGGGGGTGGGGAAGGGGAAGGGGGGGTGAGGAGGAGAGGGAGGAGGAAGGGGGAAGTGGTGGAGTGGGGGTTGTTGGGACGGGGGACTCACTTGAACGACGTGAGACCTACCTGTGCGATGTGCATGCGACCAGAGGGCTTTAAGCCGTCATACGCGATGGGGTCCTTTTCCTTGAGCAGGTTGCGCAACTCGTCCTCCTGAATGCACGATGTGCGACTCATGTGCGACATGCGACTCACTTGAGCGATGTGCGACCCACATGTGCGACGTGCGACTCACCTGTGCGATGTGCATGCGACCAGACGGCTCAAATCCATCATACGCGACCGGATCTTTCTTCTTGAGCAGCAGGTTTCGCAGCTCGTCCTCCTGAATGCACTCCTCCCCCACGCTCCGCACCAGCGCGTACCGCTCGTCCAATGTCATCCTGCCACGTGGACCGCGAAAGGCGGGAATGCGGTCGTTGCGTGGAGGAAAACACAGAGAAAAGCTGACCGAGAGCGAGTGAGAGTGAGAGGGAGCGCGAGGGGGAGAGCGAGGGGGAGAGCGAGGGGGAGAGCGAGAGGGAGAGCGAGGGGGAGAGCGAGGGGGAGAGCGAGGGGGAGAGCGAGGGGGAGAGCGAGGGGGAGAGCGAGGGGGAGAGCGAGGGGGAGAGCGAGGGGGAGAGCGAGGGGGAGAGCGAGGGGGAGAGCGAGGGGGAGAGCGAGACTGCGCAACCCTGAACCCCTGCTACGCCGCCCGTCCTGCATCCCAGCAACCAAAAGCAACTCTTTCGTAGTCGGAGCGACGAACCGAAGGCGGCGATTGCTCTGAGTACCAAACGCATAGCACTGACCGACAGCGAGTGGTCTTCAAAACGGACCAGCAGGAAAAGGCTGAGGAGGGTGAAGGAATGAGAGAATTCAATCGCACCCATTGAACGATCCTGCAAGCTGATCCACGTCAGCAGCGGGAGCGGGAGTAGAGGTCTCTGGTGCAGCCTGCGCGGCTGCCGCCGCGTCGGATCCTTCCGCAGACATTTCGCACCGGTAAAAACTCAGAAAGATTCGAAATATGGGAGAAGTGGGAGAAAGTTAGGGGGGGCGGATACAAATAAGTTACACTCACGAGCAGGAGCCTGGTGGGCTCATTCCGTGATGCCCCGTACTTCCCGAGAACGTGGTTTGAAAGGAAGGCGTGGAAACAGAGTTGCAATTTCGCTAGTTTGAGATACGATGTGGTAACACTCGTCGAAACATTTTTAACCCGTGGCGACGTTCGCAGAAACGCAACCTGCATTGCACTTTCCTGTTTCACGCTCTCGGGCTTGTTTCGAGCAGCGAATACCGTTTCAGTATTGACAGCTCCTTTACCCAACATCACATTGTCGATTTTTGAGTCGACTCAAAAATCGAGCAGTGAATACCTTTCCAGTATTGACAGCTCCTTTACCCAACCTCACATTGTGGCTCCGTTGTTAGGTGCATGGCATCTAAGATGTGCCACCAATCCAAATAGCAAGGACTTATCATACAATAAGTGCCCTACGCAAGCCGTGGCCTAGTCCAAAGCCCTGAGAGTCCCAAAACTTAGTTTTGTTTTGTGACCAGCACCGTCAGTTATCTCCCCAAAACACCGTGCCTTAACCACGCCGCTTATTCCGACCAGCACGTGCCTTATTTACTTCCCCAAAGAGCTCGAGTAATCTTGGAGGAGGCGAGAACGATATGTTATTCAGTGGCACATTCATGTCTATGGAGAGAAACTCAACTGCTTCGTCATATGCTTTCTGCAAAACCACCAAGTAAACCGGAAGAAATACGGCGTGAGAATGGTGCATGCAAGTGAAATGGAACCATGTAACGATACCACAAAGATAAAGGTGCATACTCACCTTGTCGAATAGATCAAGGAATTTGTCGCGAGCATTCGTGGGGTGCGCTGATTTCCCAATGGAGAACGCTTCAGACGTGATGGAGCGATTCAGGCGCTGCATCACCACGGGCACATCCTCCGCCAGGTTCTCAAAATGACCCACAAAGTCAAACCGAATGTCGTTCAGCCGACAGACATCCACCTGAAGACAGAATTGATATCAAGGGTATATCGAAGGGGTGGGGGGAAGCGCGGGTGGGAGGTGGGAGAAGAAATGATTTTGTTGCGAGTGTTTGTGGGGTGGGATGTGATGATTTGCTAATAAAAGCGTCAGGCACGGTGGTGTGATTCAGGCGCTGCATCACCACGGGCACATCCTCTGCCAGGTTCTCAAAATGACCCACGAAGTCAAACCGAATGTCATTCAGCCTTCACACGTCAACCTGAAGACAGAAATGGCATCGAGGGGGCATTGAAGGGATGGGGGGGAAGCATGGGTGGGAGGTGGGAGAAGGAAGGAAATCATTGCGAGTGTTTGTGGGTGGGATGTGCTGATTTGCCAGCATGGGGTGAGGTAGTTGCCTACTTGAGGGGCAACGTGGGGGTCCATGGTGCGGCGTCTCCGCTTGAACATGGTCCGCAGCAGCCCCACAAAGTCCCCAAACTGCAGCAAGTCTGACCCCCATTGATGCTCCACCAACCACTGGAATGGCCGCGTGCCGTGGAAGAACCTCTTGTTCCAAAACGTGCAGGTACAGGCAATAAGACATACAAGGCATGGTTACCTCTCCCTGAGGGGAAACAAGCGGTAAGCAGGCAGGTACCCACCTGAGGGGCAACATGGGGGTCCATGGTGCGGCGTCTCCGCTTGAACATGGTCCTTAGCAGCCCCACAAAGTCCCCAAACTGCAGCAGGTCCGACCCGCCGTGGTGCTCCACCAACCACTGGAACGGTCTTGTCCCGTGGAAGAACCTCTTGTTCCAAAACCGTGCAGGTACAGGCAAGGGGATATACAAGTCATGATTGGCCACCTGAGAGCCAACATGGGTTGAGGTAGTTGCCTACCTGCGGGGCAACGTGGGGGTCCATGGTACGGCGTCTCCTCTTGAACATGGTCCGCAGCAGCCCCACAAAGTCCCCAAACTGCAGCAAGTCCGACCCTCCTTGATGCTCCACCAGCCACCGGAACGGCCGCGTCCCATGGAAGAACCTCTTGTTCCAAAACGCCCGCCCCTGCGGCGGCCCCCCGTTCACATGCTTGTTCAGGTAGGCTGACGCCAGGCGCGCAAACGGGTGGCGCACGAACGTGAATTTGAAGAAGTCAGGGCGGGTGAGGAGCGCCATAACGGCAGATTCGGTGTATCCGGACGCGAGCACGTGCAGGCCCGAGTGCTTGGGGTCGTGCGCGAGGTAGACGTCGGAGATGTTGGGCAGGTTGTGCTGCTGGCGGAACCACACCTTCCAACTCGTGCAGGCCGCCTTGGGGACAAAGCAGTAGATCGTCTTCAGCTCCTCTGCGAGGGAGGGGGGGGGGGGGGGGTGAGAGGGGGAAGACCGAAGGGGTAGTGAGGAGGAATGAGAACGGGAGCAGGAGGGAGGTGGATAAAGGGCCCACGTGCCGTCATGTGAACACGTGCAGGCCCGAGTGCTTGGGGTCGTGTGCGAGGTAGACGTCGGAGATGTTGGGCAGGTTGTGCTGCTGGCGGAACCACACCTTCCAACTCGTGCACGCTGCCTTGGGCACAAAGCAGTAGATCGTCTTTAGCTCCTCTGAGGTGGAAGGGCGGGAGGGGAGACACATGGGAGAGGGAAGGGGGACATACGGGAGATGGAACGGTGGGGCAGAGGGAGGGGACATGTGGGAGAGGGAGGGAGGGTAGACGTCTGAGATGTTGGGCAGGTTGTGCTGCTGGCGGAACCACACCTTCCAACTCGTGCAGACTGCCTTGGGGACGAAGCAGTAGATGGTCTTTAGCTCCTCTGCAGTGGGGGTGAGGGGGATAGTCATGGGGGACCGAGGTGGCAAGGAATGGAAATGAGAAGGTGGGATGGGGAAGAGAGGGTAAAGGAACACGTTTCCCAACAAACGACCAGTATGGCAATCATTGATGGGTGAGGGGTCTGACATATGAGCTGGTGGCTGGAAGCACTCACCATGCACAAGCTACTGCCGCAGGAACCAGACCTGTTGCCGAAGGGCGCCAGGTGTGATTCGATTAGATTCGACTCAAGAGCCATCACACTTGTTCTCTGGCTAAACATAGGGAGCACTCACCATCCACGAGATACTGCCGCAGGAACCACATGTTCTTGAAGGGCGCCAGCTGTGATTTGAGTCACTGGAGCTGTGATTTGAGTCACTAGAGCTGTGATTTGAGTCACTAGAGCTGTGATTTGAGTCACTAGAGCTGTGATTTGAGTCACTGGAGCTGTGATTTGAGTCACTAGAGCTGTGATTTGAGTCACTAGAGCTGTGATTTGAGTCACTAGAGCTGTGATTTGAGTCACTAGAGCTGTGATTTGAGTCACTAGAGCTGTGATTTGAGTCACTAGAGCTGTGATTTGAGTCGACTCAAGAGCCACTAGACCCGTTCGGGCCAAAACAAAAGAAGCACTCACCATCCACGAGGTATTGCCGCAGGAACCACATGTTCTTGAAGGGCGCCAGCTCAGGGGCTTCACACACTGACGGGTCCACCACAAACGAGGATGCAGGCAACGGTGCTGTGGAGAAACCAGCTTCTCCCAATGAATCACCAGCTTCGCCACCTCTTGAAGCCACAGCAATAGCAATAGCAGCGGCAGGAGCAGCAGCGTCACTACTAGCAGCAGCAGCAGCAGAAGAGTGCGCGTTCTGGTTAACCCGCGCCCTGGCCTGCGCGGCAATGAAGAGAGCCTCCACAGAGGGACGCGTGTGAAGCAGCCCTCGAGCGGACGACAGCAGCAGCAGCTCCGCCAGCTGCAACTGCTGACACTCCGTCTGGTCAGCAGCAGCAGCGCTTCTCGTGCTGGCGCTGCCTGCGGTGATGCTGGCAGTACCACTAGTGCTCGGGGTTGTGCTGCTCCTGCCTTTTCTTCCTCGTCTGCTGCCATTCCCACTGCTAGTGTGGGTGCCGCCTCTGCTGCTATCACTGTCACCCGTTTCTTTCTTCGTGACTAGCCCAACCCCCTCTACTCCTGTTGCCTCTTCTTTCTCCCTTGTTTCCTCGTCCCTTTCCTCCCCTTGCAACTCGTCTGCTTCCTCACTCCCTGCATCCTCTGCATCTCCTCCCTCGTCCAGCACCCATCTTCGCCGTACTGCCTTTGCTGGACCCCCTTCGCTCGCACTCTTCTCCCCCCCCGCGCTCTGCTGCCCGCTCTCCCTTCCATCCTCAACCTCATTCTGCTCCTTGCTCCCGGTTCCCTCCTCCTCCTCCTCCCTCTGCTGCTCGCCCTCCCTCTGCACCTCGCTTTCCCGCTGCTCCTCTCTCTCGCTCTCCTCCTCGCCTTCGCTCTGCTGCTCGCTCTTCTTGCTAAATCGCCGCGAGGAGGTAGAGAGTGGAGGAGGAGAGGGAGCAGAAGAAGAAAGAGAGGCGGAAAGAGGGGGAGAGGCAGGGCAACCAAGGCTGATTCGCTTGCGGGTGTGGGGGAGGAGGAGCGGGGCGCGCAGGGGGTGGAAGGTGCGGGCGACTGTAGCAGCGTCTGTAGCAGAGGCAGCTGCTACAGTGAAGTCCACGTCAGACGAGTTGGACGGCACGCGCAGGTAGCGCCACGTCAGCGTGCGAAGCGTGCAGTTGAGTAGAGGGTCCTCGGGGCACCCTCCGCACGTGCCACCTGGCATCACCTGATTGGCCTGTCGATCAGCACCAGAACATACATACAAAAAGAATTGATGTATACAAAACATCATGCACTGTTGAATGCAAGGAAGATGAAACTAGCACAAACCATGACCTATAAATTTTGGTCCCTTTCTCACCTCAAGGTACACTGCTGTACTCGATTTAAGCCTGGAGAACAGTGACACTGCGTTTCCTGCTCCTTCGGTCTGATCCTCCTGTTCCTCCTCCAGTTCCCCGGCCAGTAATCTGGTGACACGTGGCGAGGGCTGTAAAGCGCCCAGGCATGACTGGAAGAGGCGGAGGGCGGAACATGCCTCGGGGGGGGTCTGGGGGCAGACGCGGAGATGGGGGTGACGAGGCCAATGTGAGGAGTTTGAGGAAGGGAATTAATGAAGGGAAGGTGGTGTGCGCGATGTGTGGGAGAGAGGGAGGACGGGATAAGAATCAAAAGCACAATGTTTCATGTACTCAACGCCATTCGAAATGTTACCTACCTTCCAAGCACTTGTGCACACTCTCCAACTGTCCCCAACAGTCCCCAACATTCCTCACACTCCCCACGCGCCCCAAACTCCCCCACACTCTTGGTGTTTTCTTCATGCCCAGTAACCAACACAAGACATCTCATTCCACCGAATTCAACGCACTTCCACCACTGCCATCCCAGTCCTTCTGTTTAAGCATCGATCAAATCCCTATGCGCCTCAAAACTCATCTCCCCTCACACCAGACTCAACGCATCCCCCTGTGGCCTACCCAATCCTGATGCATGAGTGATTTCAGATGACGTGGCACTTGCAGGGACACCTTCCAGCCTGGATGCACGAACCCCGTGCCAGGTGTCGCGCTCCCGTTGGCCTCATCTTCCGAGCAATGGGGAACGTCCACCTGGAGTGAACCATGGAAAACGAAGCAGTTGGGAGTGAACCAAGCGGTTTGGAATGAATGGGAAGAGGGAGGGGCGAGAGCAATATTGTCATCACGCATATCGGTTTGAACAGCCATCTGCAGGGGGCGTCATCACGCGGCGATCCGTAAGGCGGAAAAAAACGATTGTCGGAAACATGACGGGGAGGGGGACGGGAGACGGGGGAACGGGGACCGGGGGACGGGGAACGGGGAACTAGCCAATCCGCGCGTTAGCAGCCATCACTCACTGTGATTTCCTCCAACCCTTCCCCGGATCCGTTCCCCCCGTTTCCGCCGCTTCCCCCTTCCGCCACCCGCACGTCCGGCCAAGACTCCGCCAATCCGCGGGGAAGGTCCATTCGGCTGCGCGCGGGCGGACCTTCAAACAGCGCGCGGAACGCCACATCTGCATTTCCCCCTTCCGCTCCGCGTTCCGCGCCTTGTTGCGCCCACACTACCGTCATGCGCTTCGCCTCCCCTTCCGCTCCCCCCGCCCCTGCGCGGAGCCCCAGACGCGTGCCCGCGGGTTGCACCCACCCCTCCCCCGTCCGCTGTTGCTGGCGGCGCCACAGCGTTGCCGCCACCGCAGGCGCGAGACAGAGGGTTTGCAGGCGCGCGGGTAGATCGCCCTGTTTAGGGAACGCGGAGAATTATATCGGGGGAACGCGGAGAAAAATGGTGGGAAAACGCGAAAACGAAAATTGGGAGAACGCGGAGAAGAAAGTCGGAGGAACGCGGAAAGCAGTACGCGAGAAAGCGATATGACGATTGCTCTTGACTGGCCGCGGAATTGATACCTCTGACACATTTCTGTAACCTGTGACACGGTACAGTAACGTGTGAGACGTTGCTGTAACATGTGATACTATGCTACTGCACCCTGTGTTATGTTACCCTAGGAACGGTGACCAAGCTGCCGTTCCATCCACGGGAAAGAGCCCACACAAGTTCGGTTGGTTTTCGAGAGTTTCCATCTATCGGAAAGGGTCCAACCTTAACTCGGTAGTACCTCCGCTATGGCGACAGCCATGTCGCTATTCGTGCCCGGCAAGCCGCTTCGCTCTGCCCGGAATTCGTACAAGCTCTCGTCCATCGCCGCATCTGTCGCCGCATTCGTCGCCGGAAGAATCGGCAGCGAGGAGGACGCGGAAAACGCGGATTTAAGCAGCAGCTTTTGCGGGGATTGCGGCGAAACTATCATCACAGCCGCGAGTGCTACGACAACCGCCGACGCGAGAGCTAGCGACACGAAACACCCGAACCGCACGGAGTCCGTGAAGTCTTTCTTTCCGCGAAACCTCTGCCAGTCCCCCGGACTCGGGACAGCGGGGGACCATCGGGAGACTGCAGCGTGAAGGCAGCTTCCGCCATCGCGGCCGTGAGGCTCAGCTAGCACTGGACTTCGTACCATTGGTACGATATTTTGTACACGATATAAGCTTTGCAAGGGAACCGGGAATGTTGTATAATCAAGTGACGACCGTATGAGGGCGTTATGAAGAGGAGGTGCAGCCTAGACACTATTACGCGACATTGCTTCTCCCTGTTACGGTCAACGATGTGGAGGCTAGGGTTAGTACAGTAATTCCTAGTCGCATCGATTAGACCAGCCTTGCCATGTCGTCGCGCCCTCTAAGAGCAAGGAAGCAAAACAAAAGAAAAGCGAAGGGAACTATGGAGAATGCAATGGCTCTATTTTTCGACCGTCCGTTTGCGGACTGGATTGGAAGGCTAGGGGGGGAGAGCGTAGGGAAGGGAGGAACAAGGTGGTCATTCTTGAAGGGCGACTCCGAGACGGCTCTTCTCTTCACCGCACTGAAACATCGGCACTATTCTCGGAACCGTTGGAACCGTTCGAAAACGCGTTCAACCACGTGAAGCTCAGCATTTGTTTCTGGTGATAGGTTTGACTGAGTGGGGAAGGTACACTTCCCGCTTGAAAATCGGCTGACTGAGGCCGAAAATGATTGGTTGCGACTGACAGCCACTCACGAAAACCCTTCATCATTCGTGTCGCACTCGCAATCCAGCAAATTTGTCCCAATTTCGTCGGCTCCTGCGGCTTGCGAAACGCGTCTTCTCGAACTTGCCGATTGACATATTTGTGCGAGTCGGGCATGGGCGCGCTAGACGCGAGGGGCAGGCCAACAGTCAAACACCCAAGTCACTCGCACACAAACAAATCAGGAAACTCCACAAGTAATAAAAGCGGGTGCATTTGCACCAGCCATAACATTATATAGATATATTCCAAATATTTAGCTTATTTCAGACCCTAACTTTTCCACCAAAGCTTGTGGTGGTCCATACTCTAAACCATTTAGATGCACACTAAAATCCGCCTTGTATGCGACCATAGCAGCCTCAAATGCTCCCTGCACATAACAACAGGGGATAAAGGCAAATGTTGGTTGCGTGTTTGCAAATTCTATGCAACTTCAGTAACATAATTGCATGCCTTCTAGGCTCACCTGGTCATATAGCTCAAGGAGCTTATCTGACGCATTAGTTGGGTGTGCCTCACGGCCAGTATTGAACGCATCTTTCTCCTCCTTTCCAAACTGCCGCATCACCTTTGCCACATCCTCCTGTAGATTCTCGAACCGCCCAATAAAATCATATCGGATCGCATCCAGCTTGCACAGGTCAATCTGAGCATTGCGACCGAACGAGGAAACATGGGAAGTGAAAGGGCTTGCAGCCAATCAGCGCACCAATAATGGGATCGAAGGAGAAAGATTGGGTTTCTGAAGAAAGTGCAGGGAAAGAGTGGGGGAAGTACCTGGGAGCGTATGAGGGGGTCCATACGCCCTACAAGGCATGTGGCTTTTGAGGCGCCACACAAGGAAGCAAGGGACAAGGATGGGGGGAAGTGCCTAGGGCCGGGCATGGGGGTCCATGGCCTTTACAAAGCGTGTGGCTTGCAACTGGATGCATTTCGAGCCTGAGGGTCCATGGGGTGTCTATGGGGGTCTATGGATCTACAACTTGCACGCCTAAAGAATCATACCTGGGGGCGGACATGGGGGTCCATGACCTCTACAGAGCGTGTGGCTTGCATCTGGAGGAAAGACATGAAGGTTGAGAAGGGGATGAAGTCGCTGCCGTTCTGGCTCTGCATGAACGTCTTGTATGCCTGCATTCCCATGAAGAAGCGCTGCAGCCAGGGAGAGAGGCGCAGAGGACGGAAATCGGGGGTTGCATGGAATGCAGAGTGGAGTTGACCGAAAGAGCGGGGAAAGAGAGTGGAGTTGGAAAGAAGAGAGGAAGAAGAGAGGAAGAAGAGAAGAAGAAAGGGAGTGGGAGACATGGATGAGGGGAAGCAACGGAAAGCAGCAGCTTCCTCGCCTCACCACATCCCAGCACTTTTCACACTGAACCACAGCAGCCACACCACGTGCCAGCCGTTTCCAGCTTGTTCCATCTGCTCCCTCTGTCTTCTAACACACTACACATGGCAAAACTCGAAAGCAAACCATCACCTCGTTCCAATACTTGCGGTCGTGTGGGTAGCCCCCATCCACATGCTTGTTGAGATACGCCAATGCAATCTGCATGAGTTGGTCGCTCGCCAACTCAAACGTCAAACACATGGAAAGGCTCACCTCATTCCAGTACTTGCGGTCGTGCGGATACCCTCCATTCACATGCTTGTTGAGATACGCCGACGCGATCCGTGTAAACGGGTTGCGCACAAACGAGAACTTGAAGAAGTCGGGGCGCGTGAGGAGGCGAATGTTCTCGTGCTCCGCAAACCCGTACCCCATGATGCTCAGCCCGCTCTGCTGCGGGTTGTGCACGATGATTCGCTCCGGCACGCCGTACGACTTCATGCCGCCAAGCCGTTTAGACAGCTGCTCCCGGAACCACACCTTCCAGCTGGTGCAGGCCGCCTTGGGGACAAAGCAGTACACTGCTTTAAGCTCCTCTGAAGGGGGGCGGTAGGAGGGGAAGGAATTGGTAGGAAGGGAGGTTGAGGTTCTTGAGTTCATTCAAAAGGCCGCTCTGGAGACAAAGCAGCACATCAACACGCCAAGCTCCTGTGCTGCGGGTTGTGCACGATGATCCCTTCCGGCACGCCGTATGACTTCATGCCGCCGCCCACCCGCTTCGACAGCTGCTCCCGGAACCACACCTTCCAGCTCGTGCAGGCTGCCAAGGGGACAAAGCGGTACACCGCCTTGAGCTCCTCTGGTGGTGGTGGGAGGAGGGTGAGTAGGGAGGGTGGGAGAGGAGGCGGGGGTAAGAGTGGTTGAGCTTTCTGGTCATGGGGACACCGTGCGGCACCATACCGCTGCCGGAACCACACCTTCCAGCTCGTGCAGGCTGCCTTGGGCACAAAGCAGTACACCGCTTTTAGCTCCTCTGGTGGTGGTGGGAGGAGGAAGAGAAGCGTGAAGAGTGGTTGAGCTTTTGAGTCACCGACACACCGGCCGTGCACAATACACCATGCTGCTGCCATGCATAAAAACAATAGAAGCTTGGTCACATCAAGCACAAGGTGGCGGCTCACCATCGACGAGCATCTGCTGCAGGTGCTTGTGGTCGACAAACCCATGCACTCACCAGGGGGCACGTGTGCGGACAGAGGTATTTAAAGCCGTGCTAGTAGTCAAAGCGGCTCAAGACGGCTCACCATCGACCAGCATCTGCTGCAGGTACTTGTGGTTGACAACACCATGAACTCACCACAGGGCACATATGCAAAGCCGTGCACACAAACAAAACAATCTCACACGAAGGCGACTCACCATCCACCAGCATCTGCTGCAGGTACTTCTGGTCGACAAACCGGGCAACACGAGGGGCAGCGCACACATTCTCCTCCACTGCAAACGTAGCTGCCGGGGGGGCAGCAGGGGCGTCCGCACTGCTGCTGTGACTCGCCCTGAGCCGTCTTCTACTGGCCTGCGCGGCAATGAAGAGCGCCTCTACAGATGGCCGCGAGTGGATGAGGCCTCGAGCCGACGACAGCAGCAGCAGCTCCGCCAGCTGGTGGTGTGGGATGGAAGGGGATCGAGGAAGGGTGTGGAGAGGAGAGGAGAGAGAAGGCGGATGGAGAAGGCAGAGAGAGAAAGCGGACAGAGAAAGCGGTGAGATGGTGGATGGTGGATGGAATGAGCAGGTGATGTGAAGGCTGTGATACATGCACACATGCATCATGCGTGCATGCCGCTACATCCACCCATGTATCCATGCATACGTACGTGCATGCATACGTATATACAAGCATGCCACGCAACCACCAGCAACCAGGCCTACCTCCAGTTGACCACAACTCCATTCCTGCCCTTTCGCCCCACTCGCCCCACTGCTGCTGCTGCTCGTTCCGCTGCTGCTGTTCTCACTACTGCCGCCCCCAGAACTGTCAGCTGGTGAACCAGCCTTCCTCTCCTCCGTCTCTTGCTCCTTCTCCTCTCCCTTCAGCGCCAACAGTCGCCGCGATGACGACGATGGCGATGGTGGTGATGGTGATGAGGAGGAGGAGGAGGATGATGAGGATGGTGGGGAGGAATCGGAAGAGACAGATGCAGCAGAGCTAGTGCTGGGCGACGCACTCGAGGAGGAAGGGGGGGAAGGGGAGGAGGAGGAGGAGGAGGAGGAGGAGGAGGAGGAGGAGGAGGAGGAGGAGGAGGAGGAGGAGGAGGAGGAGGAGGAGGAGGAGGAGGACGAGGAGGGGAGGGGAGGGGGGGACGGAGGAGGAGGAGCGGGGCGCGCAGGGGATGGAAGGTGCCGGCGACTGTAGCAGCGTCTGTAGCAGAGGCAGCTGCTACAGTGAAGTCCACGTCAGACGAGTTGGACGGCACGCGCAGGTAGCGCCACGTCAGCGTGCGAAGCGTGCAGTTGAGTAGAGGGTCCTCGGGGCACCCTCCGCACGTGCCACCTGGCATCACCTGATTGGCTTCCAGATACACCGCCGTGCTACGCGCTAGTCTCTCCCTAAATCCCCCCTTTACCCCTCCTCCCCCACCCTCCTTAATCTCCCCCTCAGGGCTCCCAGACGCTGCTCCCGTTTCCCCAAGCGCCCCCTCCTCCAGTAATCTGCTGACACGTGGCGAGGGCTGTAGAGCGCCCAGGCACGACTGGAAGAGGCGGAGGGCGGAACATGCCTCGGGGGGGGTCTGGGGGGGAGGAGGGGAAGGGGGAGAAACGGGAAAGGTTGGTTATCGGAGAAGAGGAGAAAAGGAAGGGTTGGGGGGGCCGGAAGGTGTGTGGGGGAGGAAGAGCAAGAGAGGGGGGACGAACGGGATGAAGTTAGAGCAAGATGCATGGTGTGAGAATCTACCGAGCTTTAACTAGGAACTTCCGAACAGCTTACCCAGTCCCTGCTTGCCACGTGGCTTAGTCCAGAAGGGAACCACAGCGATAGAGTCAACTCAGGCACCTCCGCGCTGCTACTGTTGCTGCTGCCATTTGTCGCGCTCCCATTGGCAAATTCAGACCCCTCTTCTACACAGACAGGCAGGGAGATTTGCACCTCTGTCCGTGACTCTAAAAGAGGAGCAGTGGAGGCTGTTTCCGTTACAGTCACACTCGGCCAAACAGCCTTATCCTTCTCATCTAACCCTAGCGCATCTACACCGGGAAACCCGCTGAATAAATCCAAGAACCCCTCCCCTGTGGGTCGCTTCTTGGGACTGCCGCCAGCGGAAGCACTTCCGTCCACGTCAGCATCCGCAACCGCTGAGTCACTCCATACTACGGCTACCTCTCCCGCCTCAACCCCTTCCGCCTTCCCCACGTCCGCCTCTCCCAGTGCGCGCGCGCCCCACACGGCGCGGACGGCGGGCGCAAGGCAAAGCGCCTCCAGGCGTGCGCCTAGGTTGCCCTGGGGACGAAGCAAGGGAGGCGGGGGAAAAGCAGGGGAGGCGGGGAAGCGGGGGTAAAGAGGGACGGGGGAGCGTAAGCATGCGCACGCGAATGACCAAGCGTACGCACGGACATGACACACGCGTACTGACATAACACATGGTTACAGCAAGGTTTGAAGTCACCTAAAACAACCGACTTTAAGACGAATCAAATTGCGATAGAGCGTCTGGTAATGACAGACTTACCTCGGCTACAGCGATTACTGCAGCGTCGCTAACTCCCCGCCTCTCCGCCTCCTCTGATGCCGTCCCCTCCTCGCCTGTAGCCTTTGAATCTCCCGCTGCTTCTATTTCCCGTTCGACATCCGTTTTCCCTGCGACATGCGCTTCCCGTGCGACATCCGCTTCGACTGTCGCATCCGCCTGTTCCACAGCCGCCGCATCTCCACCTACTTCGGCTGCCTGTGTCTCTGCACTGCTAAGTTGCCCCTCGTGCACGCCAGCAGCTGCCTCCGCCTTCCCCTCAACCTCCGCCTTCCCCTCAACCTCCGCCTTCCCCTCAACCTCCGCCTTCCCCTCAACCTCCGCCTTCCCCTCAACCTCCGCCTTCCCCTCAACCTCCGCCTTCCCCTCAACCTCCGCCTTCCTCTCAACCTCCGCCTTCCCCTCAACCTCCGCCTTCCTCTCAACCTCCGCCTTCTGCCAATTATCGCTCCCACTCTCACCCCCTCCCTCCTCCGTCTTGCTCTCCTGCCGCGTGCTGCTGTTCTCCCGCTCTCTCTTCTTTTTACCACCGCGATCCTTTTCCCTCCCTTCCTCCAACCGCTCATCACGCTGCCTCTCCGTTCCCCTTTCCGGCCCCTTCAATTCCTCCTCGCCTTTCTCGCTTATCTTCTCGCGGGCGTCGTTCTTCGCATCCTTGGTCAACCCACCAACTTTGATCACCATCTTATCTTCCCGATTCTTCTCTTTCCCCTTCTCCGCAATCTCAACATCCAGTCCTTTCCCCTTTTTCCTACCCTGATCACCCACGCGCCGCTTTCCCGTCGCATCCCCCCCTCGCTTTTTCCCCACCTTCCATTTTTCCGATTTTCCCCGCTTGTCTTTACTCTGTTCCATTTCTCGCGGTTCTTCTAGGACCTCTTCCACCGTCACCACCTCCCCGGCGAACGCGCCTCGCCAGCTATCCACCCCGTCAAAATCGTTCCCGCCATCCACGGTGCTTTTGCCGGCGCCGACACCCTTCGCAATACCTTTCCAGTCGTGACTAGTGATGGCTACTGTGACGTCATTCGACGACGAGAGAAGGTTCCGCGAACCCTGCATGTTCTGTGGGAGCGAAAGCTGCACAACTCTCCCCATGGCTGCTAACGAAGCGACAAATACTATGGCGAGGACAACTCCGGTTGCGATAAACGAGTGGACCCCCGCAACCGGCGCTGGCGACGAATCGTCGCCTTTGCCACGTTTCGATCCGCATTGACTTGACTCCTCCAGGCTGAAGGAGCGAAAGTTCCCCGGAAGAGGGCTCCAATTTCGTTTCCCGCTGCGGTTGGTGGAACCTATTCGAAGCGGGCTCGCGATAGGCTCATCGAAAGAGCTCCGGGTTTGCGCTGGCAGCGGCGAATAGGCACGCCGCTCCATGACTAACGGAAATTTTTATTTGGTCGCGATCCGTCGCTCGAGTGGTCAAAGATTTTTCAACGAGCACTAAGGAACAAGAAGCGTGTACGAATCCGCATTGAGCGTGTCGACATACTCCAAATAGTTACAAGATGGCCCAGCAGTACTGGAGGAGGTTGTGAGATGCTTCACAGCAAACTATTACGTAGAAACCAGAGCCAACAGGTGATCCGACCTGATAAAAATGGCTGCTGATGAATATTCAGGGTCAGCTAGGTCTGGCTGTTGAAATGATCTACCTAGGTGCGAGTGGGAGACGGAGAGACTCGAGGAGGGTGTGTGCAACGAGAATGTCATGCCAGGTCATGCCCTGCCCACCAAGCCTCGAGGTTGTCAGTCAATCGTAGCCAGCAGTTCTCGAAAATGCGCTTTGGGAAATGCGACGCGGAACTCCTTGAGGAAAATCGATTTCCGAACCAATCCATTCGGCCCAGACCCGTAGGCAACGCGCCCAAAGAAAGGTCTATAGGTTGGTTCTCACCTTGAATTCCTCCGAAGCTGCGCACAACCAAGCTTCACCCAACCAGGGCACCGTCGTACACTTGGGGCAAACAAGACGAGCCTCTTCACCATCATGGTTTGTCAAAAGACGAAGCCGTGCGACGTCGCCACGAAGTATGGAAGCGAGCGATTCGTTGGATGTGAGGATGTTTGGTGCCACCAGGCCAATGGGACGATGTTCGGCGGAACAGGTGCCGTGACTAGTGAAGACACGCAAAATGGATCCTACGGCTTTGGCGGCTTTGTTGCAGCGACGTGCGTGTGAACGATGGACAAAAGGCGTTTACTGCCAGATGTTACCTACACCAAGGGAATAGACAGCCCAATATTTGATATTACTAAAAATGCACACCTCTATCTGAACTAACTTATAACCCTAGGTCCGCAAGCTTCAAAGGTACCAGTAGGAAGAAGGTGAAGGGACTGAGCCTCCAGTTTGTAAGTAAAAAATCAGCAAACAATTAAAGTCAAGGAGATGCAATGCCCCATTTATACATGCCAACCTCTTTCAAGACTACAACTTCCTACACTAGAATGGCATCATGACTAAGACAATAAGCCACTTTTATATAATTGCATATCTTATTTCCCGTACACTTTGTAACCTTGAGTAAGAGCAGAGCTTGACCCATGTGAGGGGCAACTGACTAGTAAAATTCTGGCGGGAAAGCAACCTGGCCCATACCTTCTGATAAGTCATTCTGATTGGTGGTATCAATTGCGCGAGTCGGACTGCGAGATGAAATATGAGCAGCGTTGATTGGTGCAGTTGCTCTGACGGAGCGCAATCACAACTGCACGAGTTTTGCTTCGCTGAAAAAAATCGACGGTTTCTGAGCTTGTTCAGAACACTTGCGAATCAACATTTATTAGAGAAGAGGCTTCCTAGTGAAAACCAGAGAATGCTGGAATTGAACCAAAGAATACGAAGCGCCCACGCCGTCATTGAAGCCATTTTTCCGGCTCCGATAGCGGCTCCGCTTGTTTGCCTTTGGTGCCGTCTCATTTACTTACTGTACCTGTCACGACTGTACGGTTCGGCACTGCCGTCCCGTGTCACGAGTCGCACGGCTTGCGCTTCTGACAACACAAGGTAGTGAAGACGCTCGGATAGAGGCTCAGCTTGTTTGCATTTGGTGCCGCCCCCTTCACTTACCTGCCACTGTTGTATAATGTCCCGAGTGGGATTCCCTAGGTGGGTGCAGCTTCAGAGGATTCAAGACGAGAATTCTCTTTGGGTAAGAGCCTACAGAACCGGGCCCGCTGACTGATAGATTCATTAGCAGCCAATTTTTCAGTCCGCATGATCCGCTGGCTCCGGTATTTCACGTAATAGGTTGCTGCTGGCCATCGTATAAATAGATGGGAAGATTTTGACACTCAGGTAGCAGGGTTTGGATTCATACGCGCTTCTTGCTCCTTCGGGATCGATAAGGATTCGAACAATTTCCGTTACTCATGGAGCGATGTGCCTATCATAGATTTCCGTTATTGAATGATTCAATAAGTTCGTCGCTACCAGCGCAAGCCTGCGACTCTTTTGATGAGCCTGTCGCCAACCCGCTTCGCATAAATTTTACCAACCGCAGCGGGAAGAGATTTTGGAGCCTTCTTTTGGGGAAATTTCGCTCCTTCAGCCTGTGGGAGTCAACTCAATGCCGCTCGAAGCGCGGCAAAGGCGACGACTTGTCGCCAACGCCGGTTGCGGGAATCCGTTCGTTTGTCGTGATTGGAGCTGTCCTCGCTACAGTGTTTGTCGCTTCGTTAACAGCCATCGGGGGAGTCGTTCAGCTTCCGCTCCCGCAGAACACGCAGGGTTCGCGGAACCTTCTCTCGTCGCCGGGTGACGTCACAGTAGAGCTCATTAGCACCGACTGGAAAGGACACGAGGAGGGTATCGGCGCCGGGAAAGGCGCTGTGGATGGCGGGAACGTGATCCATGTCGTCGAAAGCTGGCGAGGCGCGTTTTCCGGGGAGTCTGTGGCTGTGAAAGAGGTTCGAGAAGTCCCGCGGGAAGCGGAACGGCGGAAAGGCAAGCGGGGAAAGTGGAAGTCCGGGGAAAAGCGAGGGGAGGTTGCGACTGTGGAAGACGGCCCGCGGGAAGCGAACCGTCGAGGGAAAGGCAAGCGGGGAAAGTCGCGGGTGGGGGACAATCGAGGGGGGAATATGGCGGGAAAGGGGCGCATGGGTGATGAGGGTGGCAAAGGGGAGAAAGGAGTGGTTGTTGAGAGGAAGGAGAAGGGGAAAAGGAAGAAGCGGGAAGAAAAGATGGTGATTACGGTTAACGCGGTGACGAATGAAGCAGAGAGTGATTTTCGCGAGGAGGCAGGCAAGAAAGGCGATGAGAGGGGATCGAAGGGGTCGGGAAGGGAAGCGAGAGGAAGCGTGATGCGCGGCAGGAGGAGGGGAGGGAAAAGGATCGCGGCGAGAAGGAGGAAAGTGAGCGGGATAACAGCAGTGGCACGCCGCAGACCAGCACGCGGCGGGAGAGCAGCTGGAGGAAGGAGGACGTAAAGGTGGGAGCGATACGCGGCAAATGGAGGAGGTTGAGGGGAAGGCGGAGGGGGCTGCTGGCGGGCAGGAGGGGCAACTCAGCAGCGCAGGGGCGCAGGCAGTCGAGGCGGGTGGAGAAGCGCGGGTTGTGGCACAGGCGGATGCGACAGTCGAAGCGGATGTCGCAGGGGAAGCGAATGTCGCAGGGGAAGCGAATGTCGCAGGGGAAGGAGAAACTGCGGGAGATTCAAAGGCAACAGAAGAAGCGGCGGCGGCGGCATCTGCGGGTGGAATTAGCGCCGCTGCTGTCATTGCTGTGGCCCAGGTAGCGTCACAGTCACACGCACTATCGCACTTTAAGACGTCCCACAACTTGCTGTGCCGAGGATCCTCCCTCGCTACCAATCGCTCTATCGCACGCTCATTCGTCGTGTCTGTACGCACGCTTACGCTCCCTGTCCCTCTCTACCCCCGCTCCCCCGCCTCCCCTGGTTCTTCCCCAGGGCAACCTAGGCGCGCGCCTGCAGGCGCTCTGCCTTGCGCCCGCCGTCCGCGCGGTTTGGGGCGCGCGCGCTCTGGGGGAAGCAGACGCGGGGAAGGCGGAAGGAGTTAAGGCGGGGGAGGTGGCCGTTGTATGGAGTGACTCGGCTGTTGCGGACGCTGGCGGCAGTCGCAAGAAGCGACCCGCAGGGGAGGGGTTCTTGGATTTATTTGACGGGTTTCCCAGTGTAGACGCATTAGGATTAGACGAGAAGGAAAAGGCTGTTTGGCCGAGTGTGACTGTAATGGAAGCAGCCTCTGCTGCTCCTCTAATAGAGTCACGGAAAGTGGTGCAAGTGTCCCTGCCGGCTTGTGTAGACGAAGGGTCAGAATCGGCCAATGAGAGCACGACAAGTGGTAGCAGCAGTAGCAGGGCTGAGGTGCCTGAGTTGACTTTGTCGCTGTGGGTACCTACTGAACTAATCCACGTGGCAAGCAGGGATTGGGTAAGCTACTCAGAATCTTGGACCATGTGTCTTGCTCTATCCTACCTTTCCACCCTGTTGCACTCCTCTTCACCCTGTCTCTTGCTTTCCCTTTTTCCCCTTTTCTCCTTTTCCCCCAGCCCTTTCTTCCCACCTTTCTCCGACCCCTCACCTGTCCCCTCCCCGCCCCCCCCCCTCCCCTCCGCGTCTCCCCCCAGACCCCCCCCAAGGCATGTTCCGCCCTCCGCCTCTTCCAGTCGTGCCTGGGCGCTCTCCAGCCCTCGCCACGTGTCAGCAGATTACTGGAGGAGGGGGCGCTTGGGGAAACGGGAGCAGCGTCTGGGAGCCCTGAGGGGGAGATTAAGGAGGGTGGGGGAAGAGGGGTAAAGAGGGGATTTAGGGAGAGACTAGCGCGTAGCACGGCGGTGTATCTGGAAGCCAATCAGGTGATGCCAGGTGGCACGTGCGGAGGGTGCCCCGAGGACCCTCTACTCAACTGCACGCTTCGCACGCTAACGTGGCGCTACCTGCACGTGCCGTCCAACTCGTCTGACGTGGACTTCACTGTAGCAGCTGCCTCTGCTACAGACGCTGCTACAGTCGCCGGCACCTTCCACCCCCTGCGCGCCCCCCTCCTCCTCCCCCACACTGCCGTCAGAACGGCCATGCGTTGCCCCTTGAGAATACCGAGCCCCTCCTCCTCCTCCTCCTCCTCCTCCTCCTCCTCCTCCTCCTCCTCCTCCTCCTCCTCCTCCTCCTCCTCCTCCTCCTCCTCCTCCTCCTCCTCCTCCCCTCCCTCCCCATCCTCTTCCTCCAAGTCCGCATCCTCATCTTCCTCCTCCTCACCCTCCTCCTCCACCAGTTCTGCTCCGTCTGCCACTTCCGATTCCTCACCACCATCCTCATCGTCGTCGCGGCGACTGTTGAGTCTGAAGGAAGGGGAGAAGGAGCAAGAGAAGCAGGAAAAGGAGTCTGGTTCACTAGCTGAGAGTTCTGGGGGCGGCCGTAGTGAGAACACCAGCAGTAATGGGGCGAGCGGGGCAGAAGGGCACGAATGGAGCTGTGGCCAGCTGGAGATACGCGGCGGGCAGATGATACATGCATACGTGCATGTATTCATGTATGCATGAATAAACGTAGAGATGCATTTACGGGTGGACACATGTATGCATCATGCATCCCAGCCTTTCCCACACCTGCTCGTTCCATACCACCACCCTCCATCTCACCGCCTTCTCTCAGCGCCTTCACTCACCTTCTCTCCTCTCCACCCCCTCCCTCAATCGCCTCACATCCCACACCACCAGCTGGCGGAGCTGCTGCTGCTGTCGTGGGCTCGAGGGCTCATCCACTCGCGGCCATCTGTAGAGGCGCTCTTCATTGCCGCGCAGGGAAGGCGGCACCGGGCGAGCCAATCCTACATTGGGGGGGGGAATGGGGCCTCTGCAGGGGCGGTTACAGCCCCCGTGGCAGCTGCAGCCTCCCCTTTAGCAGCTGCGTTTGCGGTGGAGGAGAGTGTGTGCGCTGCCCCCCGTGCGGCTGGGTTTGTCAACCAGAAGTTCCTGCAGCAGATGCTCGTCGATGGTGAGCCGTCGCCTTGTGAGCTTGACATGGCTGAGGTGAGTGCATGGGTTTGTCAACCAGAAGTTCCTGCAGCAGATGCTCGTGGATGGTGAGTTGCCCATATACTTTGACAGGCCCCCTTGTGCTCGACGTGGCTTAGGTATGTTGTTCGTGTGCTCTGCTTTGCGTATCTGTCTGCATGTCTCTCCCCCCCCCCCCCCCAACCGCACCACAAGAGGAGCTCAAGACGTTGTAATGCTCGGTGACTAAGGTGGCCTGCACGAGCTGGAAGATGTGGTTCCGCGAGCAGCAAGGGGGCCATACGGTGGGCCAGTGACTCAACACCTCAACCACTCTTAGCCCCCTCTAACACCCACCGTCCCCCCTCAACCACCAGAGGAGCTCGAGACAGTGTACTGCTCGGTGCCAAAGGTTGCTTGCACGAGCTGGAAGGAGTGGTTCCGCGAGCAACTATACAAGCGGCTCGGCGGCAACAAGTCACCCACAGTGCAGCGGTTCGCACGCAACTCAGTGCACAGCCCACTGCAGAGCGGGCTGAGCATCATGGGGTACGGGTTTGCGGAGCACGAGAACATCCGCCTCCTCACGCGCCCCGACTTCTTCAAGTTCTCGTTTGTACGCAACCCGTTTACGCGGATTGCGTCGGCGTATTTGAACAAGCATGTGAACGGGGGAGGCATGCACGGCCGCAAGTATTGGAACGAGGTGAGAGTTCTCCTGGTGTAAGAGGCACTCTTCGTTCTCCTTTTATTCTCTTCCCCGCTGTCCATGTCAACTCCACTCTGCATTCCGTTCACCCCCCCGATTCCTCTCCCCTGCCTCTCTCTCCCTCTCTGCAGCGCTTCTTTATGGGAATCCCGGCGTACAGCACGTTCATAAAGAGTCAGAACGGCAGCGACTTCATTCCCTTCTCAACCTTCATGTCGTTCCTCCAGCGACAAGCCACACGCTGCATAGAGTGCATGGACCCCCATGTCCGCCCCCAGGTGCCTTCCCCACACCTGTCCCCTTCCTTTTTCTACACCCTTCCCCTCCCTTTCACTGCACTGTTTTTACAGACTCCATCATTCTCCCTGAATATTTGGTCCTGAATATTTAGTCGTTCTGCTCCAAGCCCTCCCCCACGTGGTCATTGTTTGTGCTCCAATTGGCCCCTTTCACTCCCCATGTTCCTCCTTTGGTCGCAATGCTCAGATCGAGCTGTGCAAGATGGATGCGATCCGATATGATTTTATCGGCCGGTTTGAGAATCTAGAGGAGGATGTGGCAAAGGTGATGCGACATTTTGGGAAGGAGGAAAAGAATCCTTTCCATGATGCCCATTGGGCACACCCAACTAATGCTTCAGCTAGGCTTCTCGAGCTGTATGACAAGGTGAGAATGAAAACGCTCACATTTGTATGATTGAAGTTGCACTTCAATGCCCAGCAAGCAACAAAACCTCAACCTTTATTCCTGTTTCGTCTTGTGCAGAGTGCATTCGAGGATGGTACAGCCGCATACAGATCAGATTTCAGTGTTCCCCTGAATGATTTAGAATATGGACCACCACAAACTCTAGTGGACAAGTTTGAGCCTAAGAGCAAAAGAAATAAGATTGTGTAAAATGTATTGGAGGCAGAATGTAATTATAATGCTGAAAGGGCTTAGGATGGAGCAAATAGAGGGGTGTAATCAGCCGTGACTTAAAGTTTTTAACCGTGACGCAACACGGATAAACGCATAGAACCTTGATGGCAAGTTGTGATGAAATATGAACGCTGCCATGACCTGTTGGTCAGGATTGTGATGTCGGGGAACCTCGGAATTGGCTGATCAGACCGATATTTTCTGCTCCGGACGAATGCTTTCGTGAACCTGTGCGAGCCGTCCATTTCGTTAGCATCCACGGATCACAGCTCTCATCCGCAGAAGACGCGTTCTTGGCAGTGATGCACCCACACTACAGCCTTGAATTCTGTCATTCCGAGCCGAGCTGATCAACCCAGACAGTACTGAAGATTCTACCAAACCAAACCAGCAAACAGAAGCAGCAATTCTGTGTTGTGTTGGGGAAGTCGAACTTCGACCTGGCGTCTTTGAGAAAGAGGTAACGCTGAACAAATGCTGGTTCATTCCGTGCTGGGGGGGGCGTAGTGAATTACTCACGTTCGTATGTGTGCTGCTGCAGGCATTACTACCATCGAGGAGTTTGTTGGCTGGAAGTTCCGTCTGTTCGTCTCTCAACCAACCCTCTGACTTATGTTATCAGCTGAATTTATTTCGACCGTTGATTCTACCAGAAGACTTCTCCACGACAATTTGACGCATTCCACAATACATCGTCAACACATTTTCACATTGCTATTGGATAGAACCCTTAAAACCGGAGTCTCAAGTATCCCAAAGTTGCCTCATCCTTCCTACCTTTGGTTGGGTTACAAGGTCCAACCAAGCTTCCTACCTTTGGTTTTGTCACTAACTCCAACCAACCTTCCTACTTATGAAACCTGTGGACCCTGGGTTTTAAATATGCTGGCTGTCTGGTGATTCGCGAAGATCTCTTATCCGAGACGTTGACCTTAGCAATTTTGGCTTCGTATTCGACTAACCCACCAGGATGTCTCCGACATGGATAAGCCGAACTGCAATGCTTGCTCCGCCTTTTTTCATTGGCATATCAACGGGATTCACGCTGCTAGCTCTGCAGCAGTCAATGTCTACCAACTTGAGTTTTCAATCTTTTACGGAAGACCAGCAGCAGACAGAATATGTCGATTCGCACCAAATGCTCAAGAATTCCGTCGACAAGAGTTCGTTTTCGTTTGAAGAACGGTTACCGATTCGTTATAATACGTCAGCGGGAATTGTGGAAGGAAAATTGAACGTCCATCTGATTGCTCATTCCCACGACGATCTAAGATGGGTGAAGACAGTTGATAAGTACTATGTAAGTTAAGCCAGCTCACGATGATTCTGCGTACCTCTTCGCCAGCTTGACCAAGTACAATACATCATCGAGACCGTCGTTGATCAGCTCGCCTGAACGTAAATTTATACAAGTCGAACAGGTGAGCTGTCGCGTCTTTGCCCTGATTCGCCGTGAAACGGGACATTCATTAACGCGTATTTTGCAATTCATCTTATGGCAGGGGTTCTTCTTCTTATGGTGGCAGCAGCAGGGAGAGACGATGAGCAATAGAGTCAGGAAACTTGTCGCTTCTGGTCAACTTGAGTTCATGTGAGTCCACAAGCTGTCCAAGGCATGAATCTGGTTTTGCTGAACATTCATGTCTCCTCAGACGCGACTCTTCATCATGCTTATGCAAGCCAACACATCTAAGAACCTGGCCTGTGAACTTGCGCTCCTGAATCTTGTTGTCACATGCAAATCCGGCCTCACTTGCACGCGGATTCTTCAGGCATGTAAGGCAGAAGGCAAGAGTTTGCGACACCACCTAAGCACGTCAATGCGTTAAGCACACTTGCGGCGGTTTTCTTGCCTTTCCTGCACGGCCTCACACAGACTCGCATTTGCCCCCTGGAATAAGCTCTCATGGTCTCTTATGGCCTCATGCCATTGCCTGCTCAATTCCATGCCGTTCGGTGTGCTGTGCAGCAACGGAGGTTGGGTGATGCATGACGAGGCGGTGTGCCATTGCACAGACACGGTGCACCAGACATGGGCCATCGCTTCATCCAGGAGCAATTCAACATTACTCCGCGCGTTGCATGGCTATTGACCCCTTCGGCCACTCCGCCACCCAGGCTAGCCTTATCACCTCGCAGGCGAGTAAGTTTTTCACCTTCCTCTTTAGAATATCCTCGTTAGCAGCAGCTCTGTTTGTAGCAACATTTGTGTCCAGCCTCTCGTCCCGGTCGGAGCTGTTATTATCTGTAACCTATTCTGGTCCACCGATAACTCGTCATGCCTTATGCAATCCTGTCTCGTCGCGTCTACCCCTGTGTCACGGCCAGGGTGGTTTGGATGCCTTTATCTTTGGCCGAGCGGACTATGAAGACGTGGAGAAGCGCAAAGCAGAGCAGAAAATGGAGTTTGTGTGGCGGGCGGGCACAGGGGCGCCCAGGGATACGCAGGTGTTCACTAGGATTCTGTACGATAGGTATTACTCGCCACAGGAGTTCCGTTACCAGCAGACAGACAGCCCAGAGTACCGATTCAGGGTAAGCAGGTTGGTGGAGAGTGGATGGGGGGAGGCTGGTTCGTGGTTTGAACCATCATAGTGAGTCAGGCACAAGCTGTGGGCCTGGGATTTTTGAATCAAGAAAAATGCTACTTACAGGAGTTTGGTTACCATGAGTCAGCTAGATAGGACAATGTCTTGGTTTGGAGTTAGTGTTGGATTGTTGAGGAGTGGTTGACGTTCTAGAATAAATGCGAAAGAACGCATAGGTGAAGCGTGTTATGGCGCATAGGTGTGAGTGAGGCGTGAATGGCATGGTGCGGCAGCTAATGTCTCACGTGCCATCACGCCACTCACTGTTTCCCCCTCTCTCCCTTTCCTCTGTGTCCCCTTACCTCTCACTACGTGCTTCATCAGGACTGGCCGAACGAGAGAAATCCCAAAGTGGAGCAATTTGTGAACTTCTTTGTTCAGGAGACATTGAACAGGGTGAGTCAGCATATCCAAGGTGAGTCCACAAGGCCAAGGTGAGTCAGCAAGACCACGGTGAGCCAGCACATACCGGATTGATTCCATCCTGGTCAGCTGAATGTCAAACGAGTCTTGCACACCAAGAACGTTGCATGAAGGGGTAGTCACGCATCTTCGCCATCCTTCCATTGTCACCCCCTTCCCCGTCTCCCCTCTTCCTCTGTCCCTCGTTCCCTCTTCGCTCTCCCTCTCCCCCTCCCTCCGCCTCTGTGCTCAGGCACGGGCGTTCCGCACGAACCACCTGCTGTTCCCCATGGGCGAGGACTTCTCGTTCAACGAGGCCATCATGTGGTTCAAGAACATGGACAAGCTCATTCACTACGTCAACCTGGTCAGTTGGTATGGCATGGTGTGGTGCGGTGCGATATGGTAGAGCTTGATGGGGTTCAAGAACATGGACAAGCTCATCCGCTACGTCAACCTGGTCAGTTGGTATGGCATGGTGTGGTGCGGTGCGATATGGTAGAGCTTGATGAGGTTCAAGAACATGGACAAGCTCATCCGCTACGTCAACCTGGTCAGTTGGTATGGCATGGTGTGGTGCGGTGCGATATGGTAGAGCTTGATGAGGTTCAAGAACATGGACAAGCTCATCCGCTACGTCAACCTGGTCAGTTGGTATGGCATGGTGTGGTGCGGTGCGATATGGTAGAGCTTGATGGGGTTCAAGAACATGGACAAGCTCATCCGCTATGTCAACCTGGTCAGTCACTGTGAGGTTGACATGCTATGGCATGATGGTATGTTATGGTTTGGTAGTAGTATATGCTTTGTTCTTTACGTGGTTCAAGAACATGGACAGGCTCATCCACTTCGTCAACCTGGTCAGTCACCCCTCCACCTCACCACCTCTCCACCCATCCACACCTCCACCCATCCACCCCTCCACCCATCCACCCATCACCCATCCACCCATCCACCCCTCCACACCTCCACCCATCCACCCATCCACCCCTCCATCCACCCTCCACACCTCCACCCCTCCACACCTCCACACCTCCATCCATCCACCTCCACCCCTCCCTCCACCCATCCCTCCACTCACCCACCCCTCAAGCCCTCCACACCCTCCATCCATCCACCGTCCACCCATCCCTCAAGCCCTCCACCCTCCATACCTCCACCCATCCACCCTCCATCCCTCCACCCTCCACCCACCCACACCTCCACCCCTCCACCCTTCCACCCCTCCACCCATCCAACCTTCCACCCCTCACCCCTCCAGAACTCCACTCATCCACCCCTCCACCCCTCCACCCCTCCACAACTCCACCCATCCACCCTTCCACCCATCCACCCCTCCATGCCTCCACCCCTCCACCCATCCACACACCCCTACACCCATCCACCCATCCACCCCTCCACCCCTCCACCCATCCATCCATCCACCCCTCCACCGCTCCATCCATCCACCCCTCCACCCCTCCACCCTTCCACACCTCCACCCTTCCACACCTCCACCCATCCACCCATCCACCCCTCCACCCATCCACACCTCCACTCATCCACACCTCCACCCCTCCACCCTTCCACCCCTCCACCCATCCAACCCTCCACCCCTCCACCCCTCCACCCCTCCACAACTCCGCCCATCCACCCTTCCACACACCCATCCACCCATCCACCCATCCACCCATCCACCCCTCCACCCATCCACCCTTCCACCCTTCCACCCATCCACCCCTCCACCCCTCCACCCCCAACCCCACTACCCCTCCACCCATCCACACCTCCACCCCTCGACACCTCCACCCATCAACCCATCCACCCATCCACCCCTCCACCCCACCACCCCTCCGCCCATCCACACCTCCACCCATCCACCCCTCCACCCATCCACCCATCCACCCTTCCACCCATCCACCCATCCACCCCTCCACCCCTCCACCTCCCACCCCACCACCCCTCCACCCATCCACACCTCCACCCTCCACACCTCCACCCATCAACCCATCCACCCATCCACCCCTCCACCCCTCCACCGCTCCACCCATCCAGCCCTCCACCCCTCCACCTTTCCACACCTCCACCCTCCACACCTCCACACCTCCGCCCATCCACTCATCCACCCCTCAAGCCCTCCACCCTCCATCCCTCCACCCATCCACCCCTCAAGCCCTCCACCCTCCATACCTCCACCCATCCACCCATCCACCCCTTTACCCCTCCACCCTCCACCCTCCACCCCTCCACCCTTCCACCCCTCCACCCTCCAACCCTCCACCCCTCCACCCTCCACCCCTCCACTCCCCATCCACCCCTCCACCCCTCCACCTCCACCCTCCACCCTCCACCCTCCACCCTCCACCCTCCACCCCTCCACCCTCCACCCCCCTCCACCCATCCACCATCCACCCCTCCACCCATCCACCCTCCACCATCCCCTCCACCCATCCACCCCCACCCCTCCACCATCCACCCTCCACCCACCACCCCCATCCACCCCACCACCCATCCACCCCTCCACCTCCACCATCCACCCATCCCCCTCCACCCTCCACCATCCACCCTCCACCCTCCACCCATCCACCCTTCCACCCTCCACCCATCCACCCATCCACCCCTCCACCCCTCCACCTCCCCACCCCTCCACCCCTCCACCCATCCACACTTCCACCCCTCCACCCTCCACCCATCCACCCCTCCACCCTCCACCCATCCACCCTCCACCCCTCCACCCTCCACACCCATCTACCCCTCCACCCTTCCACCCTTCCACACCTCCACCCTACCACACCTCCACCATCCACCCATCCACCCCTCCACCCATCCACCCTCCACTCATCCACACCTCCACCCCTCCACCCTTCCACCCCTCCACCCATCCAACCCTCCACCCAATCCACCCCCTCCACCCCTCCACAACTCCGCCCATCCACCCTTCCACACACCCCTCCACCCATCCACCCATCCACCCCTCCACCCATCCACCCTTCCACCCTTCCACCCATCCACTCCTCTAATAGGCGCCACTCCTCTAATAGGCGCCACTCCTCTAATAGGCGCCACTCCTCTAATAGGCGCCACTCCTCTAATAGGCGCCACTCCTCTAATAGGCGCCACTCCTCTAATAGGCGCCACTCCTCTAATAGGCGCCACTCCTCTAATAGGCGCCACTCCTCTAATAGGCGCCACTCCTCTAATAGGCGCCACTCCTCTAATAGGCGCCACTCCTCTAATAGGCGCCACTCCTCTAATAGGCGCCACTCCTCTCATAGGCACCACTCCTCTAATAGGCGCCACTCCTCTAATAGGCGCCACTCCTCTAATAGGCGCCACTCCTCTAATAGGCGCCACTCCTCTAATAGGCGCCACTCCTCTAATAGGCGCCACTCCTCTAATAGGCGCCACTCCTCTAATAGGCGCCACTCCTCTAATAGGCGCCACTCCTCTAATAGGCGCCACTCCTCTAATAGGCGCCACTCCTCTAATAGGCGCCACTCCTCTAATAGGCGCCACTCCTCTAATAGGCGCCACTCCTCTAATAGGCGCCACTCCTCTAATAGGCGCCACTCCTCTAATAGGCGCCACTCCTCTAATAGGCGCCACTCCTCTAATAGGCGCCACTCCTCTAATAGGCGCCACTCCTCTAATAGGCGCCACTCCTCTAATAGGCGCCACTCCTCTAATAGGCGCCACTCCTCTAATAGGCGCCACTCCTCTAATAGGCGCCACTCCTCTAATAGGCGCCACTCCTCTAATAGGCGCCACTCCTCTAATAGGCGCCACTCCTCTAATAGGCGCCACTCCTCTAATAGGCGCCACTCCTCTAATAGGCGCCACTCCTCTAATAGGCGCCACTCCTTTAATAGGCGGTACTCCTCTAATAGGCGCCACTCCTCTAATAGGCGCCACTCCTCTAATAGGCGCCACTCCTCTAATAGGCGCCACTCCTCTAATAGGCGCCACTCCTCTAATAGGCGCCACTCCTCTAATAGGCGCCACTCCTCTAATAGGCGCCACTCCTCTAATAGGCGCCACTCCTCTAATAGGCGCCACTCCTCTAATAGGCGCCACTCCTCTAATAGGCGCCACTCCTCTAATAGGCGCCACTCCTCTAATAGGCGCCACTCCTCTAATAGGCGCCACTCCTCTAATAGGCGCCAATCCTCTCATAGGCGCCACTCCTCTCATAAGCGCCACTCCTCTAATAGGCGCCACTCCTCTAATAGGCGCCACTCCTCTAATAGGCGCCACTCCTCTAATAGGCGCCACTCCTCTAATAGGCGCCACTCCTCTAATAGGCGCCACTCCTCTTATAGGTGCCAGTCCTCTAATAGGCGCCACTCCTCTAATAGGCACCACACCTCTAATAGGCGCCACTCCTCTAATAGGCGCCAATCCTCTCATAGGCGCCACTCCTCTCATAAGCGCCACTCCCCTCATAGGCGCCACTCCTCTAATAGGCGCCACTCCTCTAATAGGCGCCACTCCTCTAATAGGCGCCACTCCTCTAATAGGCGCCACTCCTCTAATAGGCGCCACTCCTCTAATAGGCGCCACTCCTCTAATAGGCGCCACTCCTCTAATAGGCGCCACTCCTCTAATAGGCGCCACTCCTCTCATAGGCGCCACTCCTCTCATAGGCGCCACTCCTCTTATAGGCGCCACTCCACTTATAGGCGCCACTCCTCTAATAGGCGCCACTCCTCTAATAGGCGCCACTCCTCTAATAGGCGCCACTCCTCTAATAGGCGCCACTCCTCTAATAGGCGCCACTCCTCTAATAGGCGCCACTCCTAGGCGCCACTCCTCTAATAGGCGCCACTCCTCTAATAGGCGCCACTCCTCTAATAGGCGCCACTCCTCTAATAGGCGCCACTCCTCTAATAGGCGCCACTCCTCTAATAGGCGCCACTCCTCTAATAGGCGCCACTCCTCTAATAGGCGCCACTCCTAGGCGCCACTCCTCTAATAGGCGCCACTCCTCTAATAGGCGCCACTCCTCTAATAGGCGCCACTCCTCTAATAGGCGCCACTCCTCTAATAGGCGCCACTCCTCTTATAGGTGCCACTCCTCTAATAGGCGCCACTCCTCTAATAGGCACCCCTCCTCTAATGGACGCCACTCCTCTAATAGGCGCCAATCCTCTCATAGGCGCCACTCCTCTCATAAGCGCCACTCCTCTCATAGGCGCCACTCCTCTAAGAGGCGTCACTCCTCTAATAGGCGCCACTCCTCTAATAGGCGCCACTCCTCTAATAGGCGCCACTCCTCTAATAGGCGCCACTCCTCTAATAGGCGCCACTCCTCTAATAGGCGCCACTCCTCTAATAGGCGCCACTCCTCTAATAGGCGCCACTCCTCTAATAGGCGCCACTCCTCTAATA